CCAGCATCTATCTCTGCTTGAAGCAGATTTTATTTTTGAGTCATTCTTTTCGGTGTTTTATTTTCCGTAGTATCTAGTCAATTCTTCATGGCAACTCATCCAACAATCAGAGTTCAAACAGTCCCCTCTCCTCAAGAACGATAAAATGTTGTTAATCCCCCTACCGAAGGTTTAGTATTCTTGCAATCCTATCCAGATGAAAAGCTTCAACAGCATGCCTCTCTTTTTGGCAATGTTTATCAGTGTTTACTTTCTTTCTACCATCAGGCATCGACTTTCAAGTGAAGAGCTTGGTTGTAGACAAAATCCGTGTGGCTCTACAGCTGTGGGACACTGCAGGACAAGAAAGGTAATTGACCCGTACCTCTTCATCTCTGGCTAACTTTTTTTTAATAGAGGAAATTTAGGGAAATAAGTGCATGTAGCTTTCGGAATGAACCTGGAAGATTTAAAGGCAAAGTGGTTTTGTATCCAGTTCTGAGGAAGGGTCACTCGACCCAAAACATTAACTCTGATTTCTCAGCACAGATGTTGCCAGACCTGCTGAGCTTTTCCAGCGATTTCTGTTTTTGTTTCTGATTTGCAGCATCCGATGTTTGATTGCAGTCTTGGGACTGCTCCATTGCAATGTTGTGAATTATGTAAATATTAAGGCAAGTCATAGTGGTTAAGTTCTCTGTGAGGAATTACTTTGGGTCTTCTTCCATTCTGCCTCAAACCTTGATTATGTACATTTGTGGGGTATGTAACAAACCTCTTATCAAAGTTACCATGCTAGAGGAGAAGAGGTGCCAGGCAATTCCTGGCACTCTTCTCCTTTTGATGTATTTGCTTTGTTACTTTAACAGAAATTTGAAACTGTTTTGTGGATTGTTCATTATTTGGGTAGGTGGCTATGTTGTATCTCAACAGATATCCATGTAGCACAGCATAAGAAAAAATCTGCATCAACTGCACATAGGCAGGGATTTTTAATAAATCCCTTCTCCATCCCTAATCACTTTTGAGAAAGTAGTGGTGAGTGACCTTGTCGAACTGCTGAAGTTCATAAAGCTACTGGGTAGTGAATTCCAGGATTTTTTTTTATTTTCTGTGACAACGAAGGGATTGATTAATATGTATTGAATATGTAGAAGCATCACTGTTTTTAAAAAAAAGTGTTTGAGAATGTAAATGAAAACCTGGGGAATGTGGGTAGGAAGAAAACTGGAGATAATGTTAAGTGCATATGAAAAAATTGTGAATAGATCAATATACATGACTGAGCCATCACGAAAAGACAGCTTCAATTTTGTTCATGTATTTCTGCACAGAATCATAGAAGCCCTACAGTGTGGAAGCAGGCCATTCAGCCCATCAAGTCCACACTGAACCTCCAAAGTGCATCCGACCCAGACCCATCACACCACGCTCTCCCTGTAACCCTGTATTTCCCATGGCTAATCTACCTAGCTTGCACATTCCTGAACACTGTGGATAATTTAGCATGGCCAATCCACCCTAACCTGCACATCTTTGGACTGTGGGAGGAAACCGGAGCACTCAGCAGAAACCCACACAGACCCGTGGAGAATGTACAATGCCACACAGTTGCCCAAGGGTGGAATCGAACCTGGGTCCCTTGGCGCTCTGAGGCAGCAGTGCTAACCACTGAGACACCATACTGCCCTGAGAGATCTACCCATTTATTGTACAATGTAATTGAGCAATGCATACAGTTTAAACTTATTCAAAGCATGTAACCAATTGCGCTGTCTTCTGAGCCTTTCTAAAATAAGGCTGTATGTCTTAAATTGAAAGCTGATGTGTTAAAGTATTTGCTGTTAGAGAAACCAGTTACAGTTGACTAACAAGAAAACTTTTGTCTAACTTTCGTCCAATTAATGTCATCAGGGGATAGGTACATGGATGGGAAGGGCTTAGAGGGATATGGTGCAAATGTGGGCAATTGGAACTAGCTGAGAGGGCACCATGGTCAGCATGGACCAGTTTGGGCCGAAGGGCCTGTTTCTATGCTGTATTACACTATGACACTATCTAGATGACAAAGGAGGTGATGTCTTCATTACCTTTTTATGGAGAAGTGCAAAGTAAATTCTGGTTCAGTTGTTACATTGTAATGTCTTCTTTCAAGGTTTCGCAGCATAACCAAGCAGTATTTCCGCAAAGCTGATGGTGTGCTGGTGGTGTATGATGTTACATCCGAGACTTCGTTCACTGCTGTCAGGAATTGGATGGTCAGTGTTCAGGTAGGAGAATGGAGAAATGTGCAGGTATTGCTCTTCTAACGCCAAGAAACCCTTACTGCAGATTTGTTATGTTTTTACACCTATTTTTGGCAGGGGGTGGTGGTGGAAGAAAAGGGGACATTTGCTTTCCCTCTGCGCTATTATGTTTGAAGACAGTCTGGTGCAGAATATTTAGTATGGCAGTGTGTTCCTAGACAAAGTGGTAGAGATGGGCTTACACCTATAATTATCCACCTTGTGAGTTTGGAATCTCGGCTGTAAGTTAAGAGGTAGGCTTCTCAGAAGGCAATGATCAGAGGCTAAAAATCCTCAGTCTTTTCTCATTAGCAAAGTAAGTAAATTAGTGGCCAAAAACCTTGAGCCATTGCCATCACTTGCATCACCTTATACAACATTTTTAACATAAAATGTTTTCAGGCGCTTTGCAAAAATGTAATTCTTTTAAAAAAGGCTGTCCAACCAAGGAGGAGGATATCCAGAATGGTGCGAAAGGTTAGATCTGTTTTAAGGACAGGCTTAATGATGAAGAAGTAGATGGAGATAGGGAAGGCTTTAAGGAGGGAATTGCAAATGGTGAACTGTACTGGTAGAAAGTACAGTTGCTAACAGGGATGAAATACACCAGCCTGAAACCAAAGGAACAAGTTTTTAAAGGAATGCCTTAATGCTGAAGAGGCTTTAGAGAGGAGAAAGGTATTTAAATCAAGAATTTGAATTTTTAATTTGAAGAGTTGGTAAAGCAAAACCCACCATAGATTTGCAGAGACAGCAAAGATGGGGGAGTGAAAGACTTCATGCTTCAACTATTATTGAATACACTGATGTTGACTGTAACAGTGTTGCTTCCCGTTCTTATCCAGAACTTGAAAATCTGCTTTCAATTTCCGCCCTTCTCCCGAAGCCCATCTTTGACTCGCCACTTCCTTTCCTTTAAGTTTTTTGTTGTCTCCATTCTGAGGACAGACTATCGACAAATAGTCACTGTAAGCCAACTGATTTCAACAGGCAATTTGAATACTCTTCTTCATTACTTCCTTCCTGTAAAGACTCTACTCCATGCTCCCAGTTCATCTGTCTCTGTTACAACATTATAAACATTTAATCAATTCACACTCCAGGTAATTTATCTAGTCAGTTAATTTAAATCGGACGTTTTTTTGCGAATTATGTTTGAACTCACTGGTCAAAATTTCTGACCACTTAAGTTTTATCTACCTAATCTTCTAAAATAGTTGAATACTTCTTTCCAGCTCTGAAAACCTGGACTCATAAGTGTCATAGAGTCGTACAGCAAGGAAACAGGCCCTTCACTGCAACTTGTCCATGCAGATATCCTAGATAAATCTGGTCCCATTTGCCAGCATTTGGCCAATATCCCTCTAAACCCTTCCTATTCATATACCCATCCAGATGCCTTTTAAATATTCGAATTGTACCAGCCTCCACCACTTCCTCTGGCAGCTTATTTCCATACATGTAATACCCTCTCAGTGAAAAAGTTGCCCTTTTATGTCCCTTTTAAATCTTTCTCTTCTCCCTTTAAACCTATGCCCTCTAGTTTTGGACTCCCCCACCCTGGGGAAAAGTCCTTGCCTATTCACCCTATCCATGCCTCTCATGATTTTATAAATTTCTATAAGGTCACCCCTTAGCCTCCGATGCTCCAGGGAAAATAGCCCCAGCCTATTCAGCCTCTCCCTATAGCTCAAACCCTCCAACCCTGCAAAATCCTTGCAAATCTTTTCTGAACCCTTTCAAGTTTCACAACATCCTTCCAATAGCAGGGAGACCAGAATTGAATGTAGTATTCCAAAAGTGGCCAAACCAATGTCCTCTACAGCCCCTACATGACCTCCCAACTACTATACTCAATGCATTACCAACAAAGACAAGTATACCAAATGCCTTCTTCACTATCCCGTCTACCTGCGACTCCACTTTCAAGGAACTATGAACCTGTACTTCAAGGTCTCTTTGTTCAGCAACATTCCCCAGGACTTTACTATTAAGTGTATAAGTCCTGCCCTGATTTGCCTTTCCAAAATGAAGCACTTCACATTTATCTAAATTAAACTCCATCTGCCACTCCTCGGTCCATTGGCCCATCTGATCAAGATTCCACTGTACACCGAGATAACCTCTTCACTGTCCATTACACCTGCAATTTGGTTGTCATCTGTAAACTTATTAACCATACCTCCTATGTTCACATCCAAATCGTTTATATAATTGATGATAAGCAGTGGACCCAGCACTGATCCTTGTGGCACACCGCTGGTCACAGGCCTCCAGTCTGAAAAGCAACTGTCCACCACCCTCTGTCTTCTACCTTTGAGCCGGTTCTGTATCCAAATGGCTAGTTCTCCCTGTATTCCATGTGATCTAACCTTGCTAATCAGTCTAGCATGAGGAACCTTGTTGAAGGCCTTACTGAAGTCCATATAGATCGCTTCTACTGCTCTGCCCTCATCAAGCCTCTTTGTTACTTCTTCAAAAAACTTAATCAAGTTAGTGAGACATGATTTCCCATGCCCAAAGCCATGTTGACTATCCCTAATCAGTCTTTGCTATTCCAAATACATGTAAAAATCCCTGTCCCGCAGGATTCCCTGCAACAACTTGCCCACTACTGATGTCAGGCTCACCAGTCTACAGTTCCCTGGCTTTTCCTTACCACCTTTCTTAAATAGTGGCACCACATTAGCCAACCTCCAGTCTTCCGGCATCTCACCTGTGGCTATTGATGATACAAATATCTCAGCGAGGGGTCCAGCAATCATTTCCCGAGCTTCGCACAGGGTAATAGGGTAGTCCTAATCAGGTCCTAGGAATTTACCCACCTTTATACGTTTTAAGCTACCCAGCATCACCTCTGTAATATGGGCACTTTTCAAGATGTCGCTATCTATTTTCCCACATTCCCTATTTTCCTTATCCTTTTCCACAATGAACACTGATGCAAAATACAGGGACAAAAACAGAAGTGGCTGGAAAAGCTCAGCAGGTCTGGTAGCATCCGTGAAGAAAACATCAGAGTTAACTGGAGTTCTGAGGAAGGGTCACCGGACCCGAAACGTTAACTCTGATTTTTTTTCTTCACAGATGCTGCCATACCTGCTGAGCTTTTCCAGCAACTTCTGTTTTGGTTCCTGATTTATAACATCCGCAGTTCTTTCAGGTTTTACAGATGCAAGATGCTTGTTTATTATCGCCCCCGTCCCTTGCGGTTCCACACATAGGCGGCCTTGCTGATCTTTAAGGGGCCCTTTATGCTGGTGTAAAACTTCTTTTCAACTGAGACCTGATTGTGGCCCCTAGTCTATCATTCTGTGTTCAATAAAAGGTCAACTTTGTAAACGTTTAATCAATTAACACCTCGGGTAGCTTATCTAGTTGTTTAGCTTAAGTCATGTGTTTTCTTATTTTGAACTCATTGTTCAAAATTTCTGACCCCTTAAAAAGACACCTTCATAGAATTAAAACTTAAAAAAACCCATTTAGAGCTAACTTAAAAGTCCATATTCAAAATGATACAATAATATACAATGTTATCACAGAAAAGCATAGCTTCACAAAATGAACTGTGGGTGGTGAGTAAAGGAGTATGGTTTGTCATGGAGGGTGTGAAAGGTCATAGGGGTTGCTTGGGGGTATATTTTGCTGTTGAGGTTATGAGTGATCATGACTTTTAGGATGGGGTGGGGATTTGGCAGGTGGAAGCCATTGCACGGCATGGGGGGATGCATGAGGGACCATGGACATTTGGTTAGGGGGTTGCATTGCTTGGCATGGGGAGTAGGTGGGTGACATCACTTGGCATAGGCTTCATGAAGGGTATAGATGGAGGTTAACATAGCTTGGCACAGGGATCATGGGTAAGAACTTTGACCTTGCCTCTTCCAAAGGTTCCCTCAGCCACACTGGTTCTTGACATGGTGAGGCATTATAAATGACGAGTCCTTTTGAACTCCATGAAAATTGCAAGGGACTAAGAGTTATCTATTCTCACAATGGAGCGGACCACATCGGGAATGAAGAATGCAAGCTTGCTACCCTAATCAGCCCACACCTTTATCCTGCACGAGTGAACATCAAGAACAGGGTTGGAACTAGATCCCAGCTGCACTTTGCACACTCTGTAGATCTCTACGACTCCTTGAATATCCATCCAATTAACTGTTTCCTGCTCCACAGAACTGCCAGACCTGCTGAGTATTTGTGCCATTTTCTGTCCTGATTTCATATTTGCATAATCCATAGTGTATTTTGCTTTAGTCTTTGCCATGATGCATCAGACTTGAGAGGAAAGGGCACCGGTCCTACTTGCTAACCAGCCTCCTGATTAGGGAGCAGGAGGAAAGAATTGGGAATAGATTACCAAATAGTACCAACTTATGTCATTTTTCTTTGACCCCCACCATCCTCCAAGCTGAAGTCCTGAGGACTGAGAAGAGGAGAAACTTCTTCACTTCAAAGGTTGTTCATGAATAGAACTCCCTATTGCAGAAAGTTGTGGATGCTCCATCATTGACAATAATTAAGGCTGGGATATGCAGATTTCTGGTCTTTCTCAGTGAATTAAATAATATAGGAGAAGGAGCGGCAATAGCTGGTCAAGCATGAAAGTTGAATTTTGTTTTCATTCATTAATGGTATGTGGCTTTGCTGGCTGGCCAACATTTATTATCTGCCTCTAGTTGCCATTGAGAATGTGGTGGTGAGTTGAAGCCCACAGTAATATTGAATGGTAGAGCATGCTTGACAAATCATATTGTCTACTCCTGCTCGTATTTCTTATGTTCAAACTCCCTTTGTTCCCAGCTGCAATGGAAATCCTCTGGACATAAATTTGATGGTTTCAACATTTCCCATCAATGTCCTGTCAGCTGAATGTGGTACTACGAGACTTCATTCAGCTTTTATGACTCATTTTATATTTACTTGGCTGTTTTATCTGATTATTAAATTATAGATTCATAGATTCATACAGCACAGAAAAGGCCCCTTAGCCCATCGGATCTGCACTGACGTAGCTACCATTAAAGAAATGCTAATCCCAATTTCCTGCACTTGTCCCGTATCCTTGAAGGTTATGATAGTTGAAGTGCTCATCCAAATATTTTTTAAAGATTGTAAGCATTCCAGATACCAACCACCCGCTGAGTGAATAAAGGTTTTTCCCAAGTCCCTTGGATCTCCTGTCCCTTCCTTAAAACTACACCCTCTCATGATTAACCCCTCAACCAAGGGGAATAGCTGCTCTCTATTCACCCTGCCATACCTCTTATAATCCTATACACCTCAATCATGTCCCACCTCAGTCTTTTCTGCTCTAAAGAAAACAATCCAAGCCTATCCAGTCTCTTCTTTATAGCTCAATTTCTTCATCCTAGGCAACATCCTGGTGAACCACTTCTGTACCCCCATTAGTGCTATCACATCCCTCTTGTAATGAGGTGACCAGAACTGCACACAGTACTCCAGCTGTGGCCGAACCAATGCTCGGTACAACTCAAACATTACCTCCTTGCTCTTATACTGTATGCTGCAACAGATGAAAACTCTTGCCTTATGTCCCATTTGCATTTTTAAAAAATTATTCACTCAGGATGTAGCAGTCACTGGCCAGTCCGGCACTTATTGCCCATTCCTAATTGCCCAGAGAGCAGTTAAGAGTCAACCACATTGCTGTGGGTCTGGAGGCACGACTAGGCCAGACCTGTTAAGGATGGCTGATTTTCTTCCGTGAAGGACATTGTGAACTAGATGGGTTCATCATTAGACCCTTAATTCCAGGTCTTTTATTGAATTCAAATTGCACCATCTGCCATGACAGGATTTGAAACTGGCTCCCCAGAACATTAGCTGAGTTTCTGGATTAACAATCTAGTGATAATACCCACTCGCAGTTGTCTCCCCAGCTATCCTCTTAACTCTCCTATTCATGTGCTCTGGCTAGATAATATCAAATCTAGGTTTTAGAAGTGGAAATGAAAATAATACAATTTATTGTTTCCTTCTCAAATCAAGGGAGTTTCTTATTACTGTTCTGATTCAACAGGAAGGAATGGATGAGAGAGCAGCTATTTGTCTACTTGGCAACAAGATAGATGCTCTAGACTGTGAACCACGACAGGTATCCAAAACGGAAGGCAAAAGGTTAGCAGAGGTACGTTCATTAACTTCAATATCAAGTCTGTGACTAAACTTTGGACTATCTACTCTGTATTCAGTGTGAAGATCACTAAAAAACGAGGCACTATCTTTTAAACCGGTACAAGCTGCTTTCGTGACTATTTTTATTTTGTTTTAAATCAAGTCAGCATCTAGAAAACTACTGATGAATTTCATTATGAATTCAGGAGAATCGCATTTGCTCAGAGATTGGTTAGAATGTGAAACTTGGGCGTTACATGGAATGGTCGTGGCAAATAGCATTAATGCCTTTGTGGGGAATCTAGAGAAGTATGTCAGGGAGAAAGGGGCAGATTAAATCGATAGTGATTGATGAAGTAAGTAGAATAGGAGAGGTCTTATATGAAGCGTATTCGCAGGCAGAGACTAGATGACCTGTTCTGTAAAATCTATGAAGTCTCAGTGACAAAAGTGCTGATCTGGTGAAGAGAGCTACAAGGAATCTATATTTGAAATTGACAAGGTGTATTCTTAGTTTTACTGTGACTAGTGCTGATTTTGTTATATTTCTTCTCTGTTATGGTGATGTTAATAAGGCCATACATATTCATTATCCCTAATTGCCTGTGGAGGTACTGCTCAGTGTTCTATTTGAGCTGTCTTAAATGATGTTCTAATGTAATGTGACTTGGTGAAAGTACAGTCTAAATAAGTCTCATTGTGGAAATTACTGGCTTTAAAATATATCCCTGGACCACTTAAAAGCATAAGCATTTCCATAGTCAATTGGAACCAAATGTACTCTGATATATCTAATCTGTCACATTAATTACACAGGACGTTCAGCACAAAAACAGCTATTTAGAAGTATTAATGTATTTGTAAGGAGACAGTTGTCCTGTCTTGTAAGTGCACATCAGAGTTCTGTCAATTATGTATCACATATTAAAAAATGAATAATGCATTTTTTTTAAAAATTAGGAGTACAATGCAGTATTCTACGAATGCAGTGCCAAATCAGGGTACAATGTAATGGAACCTCTGATGCATGTGGCAAGGTAAATTGTCATTATTTCCTTGATATTATTTATTTAAAATGTGTTTCCTTGAATGAATAAAACAGTGCAAAATCTATCTGTGCTTCCATTGTGATTATTAGCTTTGCCATTAGTAAAGAAATGAAAGAATGAATAAATATTATCCAGCATTTCATAGTGCATATAAATATTAAATCTTCAGCCATCTGAGAAAGCAGGCATGGCCTTAGTTTAATGTCTGATTAGAAAGATGGCACTTTCAAAAGTGCCATATTCTCTCAGCACTTCATGATAGTATCAGGTGTTTTTTGTGGTCAGGTCTCAGGGACGAGACTTGATCCCATATCTTCTGACTCTGGTAGTTACCAATGCTGACATTTCAAAGTAGTTTAGCCTACAAGACAGCCAATAGCCAAATGGACATTACAGGATGCTAATGAAAAGAAGCTTTGAGGATTCAGATTCTGTAATTCCTGAAAATGAAGCTTTAGCAGCTTTATCTTTCTAAATAAATGAAGCATTCAATATATTTTCAGTGTGTGCAGGACACTGAGTGTAAAAAATTACCAAATGTTGTTTTTAATGACAAATAGACTTTTGTGGTATTTTGCTAAATTTAAAACTACATTCTGTTTGTGACAATGCATTTGTGTTTTAAGGTCTGGGATCAAATTTGTCCCAAATTAAATAATTTCCAGCTCCAGGCTTTGTGTATTTAGAAATAAAGGAGATTATTTGTTATCACTCATGTGCCACAGAAGTGGTAGTGCAATGTCTCACACTATTAGATATAGATGAAGCATAGTGGAAAAGGCTCAACAGCTGAATGGCCAATCTCACTCTAATTTCTTATGTTCACAATATGGTTATGAAGGATTATTGTCTTAGTATTTCTTTTACAGCAGGTTGTAGATTCTTAATTGAGTTGATGCTTTGCCTGGAGTGTAGGTCATGAAGAGGAGGTTTCTCATTAAGATGAGAGACTTCTTGAACTTGATGTGCCATGAGATTGAGATCTTGAAGTTGGAACAGGTTGGAGAAGGGTTCTTCCACATTCAAGGTATTGCTGTTTGCTCGGTTAACTGCATCTGGTCTGATAACGTCTGGCCTTGTGTGGGCTGTGTTGGAATTTTTTCAGGACATTTTCTGCATTTTGTTTAAAGCAGGACTAAACGGCTGCCTCACCCAAGTGATCTTTTGCAAGTACCGACTTTTTTCCCCAATTAGATGGTGGGTTAAGTCAGTAGGCATCCTGTGGTTGTGATATGTTCACATCTTAAAGTTTGAAACAATCTTTGTGCTTGGAGGAGTTTCAATGTATCTTTTGTGTCTAAATGACTCTTTTGAGTTAGTTCCTGAAGATCATGAGTCTGCATCAGGTCAGTATGTATGCTTTTGTTTCTGCTTGAGACAATTAGTGTTTCAATCCACAAGAGAAGTCAGGTGATTCTTATCTGACATCTTTTTGCAGTCTCTTCTGCATACCTTCTTTAAAAAAATAGACTTAAAAGTTTGTAACATGTTCATGCTTGTAGTGGACATGAAAACATGTACATATGTTTGATGAAGTAACTGTACAGTTTGATTGAACAATGACTGAGGGGAATACGTTGCTTAATCTGCATTTACTGTGCTTTTACAAAGAGCAATATTAGCAAAATATTGATAATTTGGGTGAAAATATTGAGGTTACCTGCTCATTCTTGGAGTTTGTGGAGGTTCTCAATGGTGGGATCAGAAGTAGGGAAGAAAGGACTGCACATAAGATGTGAGGAGGATGGGAGCAGTTTGTGACAAATGGATTCAAAGTATGATAAATTATGTGATATTTCTCCAGTCTCATATAGAGGATGAATATTTCATTGAAATTGATAATTAATTTTGGAAAATCTAGATTAGCAGATTGAGAAATAAGTGACTTGATATGAAAGAAGTAAACAAAACTAGAAAGTGCATTGTGTAATTCAAACAATGTGCACTTACGTAGCACCTTTAAAACAGCAAATAAGTTCAAGGCCCTTCACTGGAGCACAATTAGACAGGTAGCTGACGCTGAATCAAAGGAGCAAATATTAGGGCAGGTGACCAAAACTTGGTGAAACATATAGATATTAGGAATGTTTTAAATGAGGAAGAAAAGTTTTAGACTGCAGAGATGTTGAAGGATGTGATCCAGACTGCAGTGATACTGAAATATGTGATTCAAGTTGCAGTCAATTGATCTGTTTTTTAACCATTCAGGAAACAATGGATAATGCATGGCAACTGTTTAAGGATTGTTTTCTAAGTTTGAAACCAGTTGGCATGTTATATGAAAAAGTGTTCTCCCAAAACAAAAGCACAGGTACTTGTAATTTGAAGGCTGTTTTAAAAATACAGTTTTGATTAAACATTGAAAAAATGCAGCGGAATGGTGATCGAGTGCTTTATTCTCATTTTAAAACAAAAACTATTTACAGATTGCTGAGCGAACAGGAAGACAAACAGAGAGAAGATGCTTTGCATTTAGACGATGACTGTAGCAAGAAAAAAGGTTGCTGCAAATGAAAATGAAGGAAGGTCCACTCGCCATGGTCACTAGAGAAAATGGATAACTTAAACAACTTGGCAGCCTCATTCGACATTCCTTAGCTATAGGAACTTGCCCTTAGTGTTTTACCATGTTTGCCTTTAGAACCATTCTTGTTTTTGATACGTGTTGTGCTGATGTGTCCTATTGTTATACCAATTTCTACTTAATGCAGCACACTGTGGCAAAAAACTGATAACAAGTTCTGAACAGTGTTACTTCAGAATTAACATGACTATACATTGCAATGAGGTAACGGAATTGACAATAATATTCCTGTGGTTGACATATGAAGTAGTATTTGGCAACGAATGGACCAGTTTCTGTTGTATAGGACAGATACATTTTCAATATACATATTATTTCATCATGCCAAGCAATCCTATAGCAAGAGATGAGTTAACAGAAACATTAACCTGCTCAACAATGTGTCCATTGATTCCAAACAAAGCATGTGTACATCATTCACTGCTATTTTACAGTACAATAATGTACAAGCAGCATACATTAATGATGCCTATAGTTTATTAATAGGTTCAAGTATGCAGCCAAGTAGAATATATCTTTAAAAAACAATTATTCTAGTGACTGAAACTGTATAAAATGAACAAAATGTGAAATATTTATTAATCTCACGAAGTCTTTGGAGACTCCAGAACTTTGCACACAATGTAGTTTTAGGGAAAACTGCCATATGAGCCCCTCCAACAATCACTGTCAACTACCTTGTCCATGTAATGGGTGTGCTGTTCTAACATTGTTGAAATTGAATTTATAGACAAAGTTTGTGTTCCATCCCATGTAGCTCTAAAAACCTGGACCTTTTTAAAACTACATATTAAAAATATATATACCAATGATAATTTAAATAGGGGATAAAAATTAACAGTTTCAGCAGCAATTGAATCAGCTTTTTTTAAAAAAAGTTTACATTTTCCTGCAGGTGTCTCAATATTGTTATCAAATGTTCAATTATCCTCGTGAAAAACTGTCATTTCAGAATGAAAGCAATCCAGGTTTGACACAGTGGCTGCAATTTAAAGACAAACTGGTCTATCAGAGTGAATATTAAATATTGCTGAGAAAGAAACAGATTGTCGATGCTTTTCAGTTTGTATTTATCAGATCAAATCCAAGAATGTAAAATTTCAAATGATCAATTCATACCATCAGCGTAATTATTCTGAATGGCAAAATGGCCATAGGCGCATATGTACAGAATTAGTGAGGTCACTTCACCATAACACAGCCTTCTTTGCCAAGATGCGTTTGCGCATGTATTTACCATGGAGTCTGTTAAATTCTGTTTTAATTTTACAATGATTTCCAAGCTTTACAGAGTTTTTCCCCTTTGAGATCAGATTGCTCATTGATTTTGATCAAGGGGATAGACAGACCAACACTTTTTTAAACCAAACAACTATCCATCAATCTGACCACAGATGACTCTTGTATGAGCAGACCATAGGACGACGTTGAATCCTTTTCAGTCAATATTTAAAGCAAATGGAACATTGTAAAGTGTTTCTGTAAAATCAGGGAAATATTTCTTTGCACAAAATGACTTTGAAAGTAGTTCTTAGAAAGTTTTGAATTTTTATTGAAATGTTTTTAAGAATCATCAAAGCAGGAGGTGAAAAGTCTGTTGATTTCAGCAAGCAACTCAGGAGTCAGACTCTTCCAGGTAGCTGATGTTCCAGTGCCAAGCTGTGTTTGAGTATGCTCTGGTGCAGTGGCACCTAGTGGTGACATTCACAATACATGCAGCTCTATACTAATCAGTGCCGATCAGAGTGTAAGTTGACTGAGCAAAGTGTTGCAATGGAGAAAGTGATGGGTTCCCCAAGTTCCTAGGTAATTCAAAAATGGCACAAGAGTTGAAAATTTTCTCATTGCTCGCAGAAAATGGCTCCCTGCTTACGAATGTATATTGCTTCCAGCAAATATGAATTAACTACAGCATGAGCTTGACTGATGATCTTAAATTGGTTGTTCATATAGCTGTTAGCACACAATTACGATCGTTCAGTAATCACATTTAACTTCAGGTCTTTTGTTTTGGGTTTTGCAATTGTGGACTGGCTGAGTATAGCCTATCCTCCACCTATTATGGACAACCAAAGAAACATTGTTAGATTTGATTAGCCAATCACTGAGAATTTTGGCCCACATTCCTGGTATTGTGCCAGCAATGAATTTCACACACAATGCCACTCAATTGCATAGGTAGAAGGAACACTTTTTTGGACTGACTGCAGCATCTTGCTAGTAGGAAAACATCATTCATATATCCAATGCACAGTAACAGTGTGGAACCACTTTCTTAATCTATTGCTCAAATTACTGAGAACTTTGCCTTTCCAGTACATCTTGAGGTGGTACTTTTCAGGATTGGAAGTGGTTGTCTTTGGCCTATTTGCAAGTTTTTGTGATACTGAATGAATGATAATCTGATCAGAATAGCCTTTGTCTTGCAAGTTAGCTTTGTGTTCTATTTCAGCATGGAGATTGTGGCTGGGGCACTAATTACACATGAAGCAATAAAACTCCTCATTTGTATTCACCAGTAAAGCCCGACTAGGTAGACAGTAGTGGAAGTTTGTGCCTTCCTTGAATTACAGAGGAGCTGGGAGAGCCTATAGTCCACTGTGATTTTCTCAATGGCAATGCCTTGGTTAAACGGAAGTGACCTGTTAACCAGGAAGTACCCATTTATCCTGTAATAAAAATTATGATCGGTTGACATATGGCATTCTTGCATTTGTCTTGATGAGTGCAAATGAAAATCTTTGGCAAAAAGACTTTTTTTTTCAGCAAATTTCATGTCTGTACTACCAAACTGTGTACTGAATATTGTTAATGCTATAAATTGTTGTTCATTATTGTTTGTGGGTTACCTATCCATTAATTGTCCTGCAACAGTGTGCGTTGTGATGTCACACACAAAAGCTTGCTGACTTCACCTGCACACAACAGGCTATAATCATTTAAAGTTCTTTACTTTTTTTGAGGTTTAATGAAAAATAGCAGGTGTTGATCCAACAACTCTACAAACAACAAAATGCTTCACACAAATAACTGTGGATGCTGGAAATTTGATATCAGAAAATAATGGGAATTCATGTCCGGCAGCATTGTGACAAGAGAAAAAGTTAACTTTAAACGCCCAATAATCTTTCATTAAAAAACTGTAACTTTGTTCTTTTCCCACAGATGCTGCCTGACTGAGTGTTTCTAGTGTTTCCTCTTTCATGTTTTATATATGCCACCTCACATGCCAGAAATATGTCTCTATTTTAATGGGAATAAACTATTATTGTGTTAGGAATCGTGTCCATTTATGTTAACATTTAGTTGAGAAATATTTGATCTTGTATAATTTCAGATGCTTTGGTTTTAGCAGTTAATGTACCTTTGTTGATCTTTGTAAGAAAAAACTTGCATTTATATAACACCTTATCAAATTCTGGAGACCTCCCAAAGCACTACTCACTCAATCAGTGAATTCCTTTTGTTGATAAGTGGGCAAAAGTGTATAATAATTGGATGCCAATTTTTATGACTAGGAAGCTTTTATCACTTTTTAAATAAAGATTCTACCATATCAGTAGTAATTCACTGGTCTTGTGCTAGAAACCTCCTTGAATAGGAACTTAAGGAAATGTGAAAAAAAAACGAAAGAACTGCAGATGCTGCCAATCAGGAACAACAACAGAAGTTGCTGGAAAAGCTCAGCAGATCTGGCAGAATCTGAGAGGAGAAATCAGAGTTAATGTTTCGGGTCTGGTGACCCTTCCTCGGAACTGAGGAAGGGTTACTGCACCTGAAACATTAACTGTTGATTTTTCTTCACTTAAGGAAATGTTTTGTTTTAAAAGTTTTCAGGACATCTTGCATTCTTTCCCAGCATTATTGAAACTGCACAATAAATAATGCACTGTAATCAATTATTTTGCTGATTTGAAATGCTTGAATTATTAAATATTTTCCCCCCTCTGACCTGAAAAAATAGACTCCTGTGGAGGCATGGTTCAATTCAAAAAAAGTCACACTGGGAGAGCTGGTAATTATTGACCATTTCTAGTTATGCTGGGAAAATAGTGTTGGGCTATCTTCTTGAACCATTGCCATATTGAGAGTTCTTCCACAATATAGTCTATTTTTCAGTGTAACACTTCGAATCAACTGAGTGCCTTGCTGGGCACTTTACTGTCTTCTAAAGTATCCCAGGTTAGTGTACAACTGGAGGCTCATAGATCAAACTGGATGGGGACAGCATATTAAGTGAAGGATATTGTGATCCTGAAAGAACTAGTTGGTATTTCATGACAATCCAAAATTTCATGGCTACTTTCACAGATTCAAGATTTTTACTGACAAAATTTTTGATTTAACTCCGTTCACTGCCAGCAACACCAACGGACTGCTGTGATGGCTTTTTATTTTGTTTGTTTGCTGTTTATTTATCAGCATAATACAATTCCTGGTGGTTTAGAGGTTTTTGAGTTCAATTCCCAAGTCAGCACTGGAACCCCTAACCTACACTGGTACTTAAGTACAATAAACTGGGGATTTGTATTTTTCAATCTATGGATTAAGGAGAAGCAGCTGTGGCCAGTTCACTGATCTTAAAGATTCCATTGTTCTATTTGAAGAGTTTCATGTCCCAATCATTTATTAACATTTCCTTCTTAATTGGCATGGTTCAAATTAATTTCATCTGCTATTTCAATCTTGTGAAGAAAGTCCCAATGCGACAAGGCTGTTAAATCCAAGTTCTTTTCTTTCTACCATTGTACTACACTAGTTTGAGCAGTATGAAAAATGTTTTCAATGGATTCTTGTTCATTCAACTTGTGCTAGAGAGAATGATCACATCAAAACTATTTTACTTTAAAACTGTAGAAAAATAAAAAAAGGCATTAATTTTTAAAAAAATTCTTGAAACTGCTGTTTTAATCATTGAAACTTGAACCATGACTGAATAAAGGTGAATCCACTATTGAGGACCTTACTTCATATAATTCACTTATACTGTAGTACAAAAGTCAAATTCTATTTCAGCCCAATTTTCCCTTAGTTTAGGGTGCAGATGCATGTATCACACCATTAGTTCTACAAGTTAGTAGCAATCAAGGATATAAATGTGTAAAAAAATTAAGTAACAAATCAAACTTGTACTGCTTCACAGTGACTGAACAGATCAATTTCCTTTATTGCTGGAATTCTGGATTTTAACAATTTTATTGGTGTATTTCTGTCCATGAAAGTTTTGGCTAATCAGTTTTGAACAGAATTCTAACATCCTGTAACCAACAACTATTTAGGCACTGGAGAGAAAAAGTTATCTAGTATTCAAGATCCTGATCACTAATTTGGGATTCCGACTAGAACGAGAAAATACAGACATAAGACCATAAGGTTTTGAGCAGAATTAGTCCATGCAGCTCATCAAGTCTGTTCTGCCATTCGATTGTGGCTTTTAAGTTTCTCAAACCCACTCCCCTGCATTCTCCCATAACTCCTGATCCCCTTACTCATCAAGAACCTATCTATCTCTGTCTTTAGTTTTTAGTATCTAGCTGGCATTTTTTATCAAGTTCTTGAGAATAATACAGAACCCCACAAAATCCAATGAAAGACAGATGCTCACACAAGTTGCAGAAGTTTCTACATTTATCGACAAGTGCACTGTTGCACTTATCCCCATTATCATAATGTTACAGTGGACAAGTGAGACTCTCCTTCCATGATAGCTCTCCTTCCATGATAGCTCCCCAAAGGGACATTATTAAAAATCTTAGATATTTTTATAAAAAAATTTATTTTCACATATAGTATATCCTTTCCACATTACATACAACGGATCTAGAACAATTTCTATCGAAAGATTTCAACTGTCATTCATGGATATGAACTCAATGTTAGATAATACCATATTCAGTCTCAGTGCTTACAGAATGCCATTCTTTCACTTTCACCTTTTGACTTGACCGAGACCGAGCGCAAGATTGTTTGCCCTGTCAGGCCAGAGCTGGAGCAATCTCTATTGTGTTGATCCTGAGAACAGTCTGAGGTTGCACCTTTACTGTAAAAGAATAATTAAAGTATGATTCCACTCAAATGAAGCCTGGTGATAGTGGTGGAAAACTTAAGGATTTACAAAATCTCTGTAAAGATTTGTATACACATAATGTGCAATCATACACATAAATATAAGTTAAGACCTGCATCAAGAATTACGATCATAGTGTTAGGAACATGGAGCAAAGAAAACATGAAAGTTAGAGAAAGGAGAATTCTAAACTGTCTTATACAGAAGAATCTTTAAGCACCACAGATGAAACACTACATTTAGTAACAATATATTAAAATCAAAACTGATGTTCCCATTATTAAACACTGCAAATTTTTACTTACTCCTTGTTCTACGGTAACGCTTTCTCCGTTTGAATCTGAAGTGTATTTTAGGCCAAGATTCTGTCTTCTCAATGACAGTTGCTTCCACTCGTACAAGGTCCCGCCTAAGAACAAAGTGTAATAAACAGCATTTTCAATACAGTAATATGTCCCCTGCCCTTCAGATGAAGTGAAATATATCAGATTTTGGGCCAAACCGTGACTCATGAAATCTGAACATTGTGATTAATCCTTTGAACTAATCAGCAGCCCTAAGCTCTCTGAGCCACAGAGACAGCCACAGTCTATATTTACAGGGTTGAATTAGGAAGTAACCATGTATGTAAAGTCTTCAATACTGGTACCTGATGAGCAAAAGTCACATTCAAGTTTGATTGCTATATTTCATAGGTGTTGCTAATCACTTTTTATGGCAACAAATGTATCCAATAGCAAAGCTTTGAGGTGAATCAAAATATTGAATGATGTTACAATTCAAAATAGTTCTTTGCTACTAATGCAGTCACTAAAGGTAATCTATTAGCTTCTAATGGACAGAATATTCCCAGTCCCTCCGGTGTAGGTTTCAAGGCAGGACTGGCAGGAATTTATGAGAAATGTGCATCAGCCCAATGACCTGACATGTTCTTGCTTCTGGACAAACTTGCTAGAGGTGGGTTATCACCTGCAGAGGCTACCCGGCTCTCAGCAGCAGCTAGCAAATCTGTACAGATTAGTACCCATGTCTAGGATATTGGATATGCAAGGGGAATCTTCTCAGTGGCAGAAGGGCTATCTCACTGAGGATCAAACCTGGCAAATGCTTGTAGGCAGTGGGCCCCAGCTTCTGCAGCCAGCTATCTTGTGAAAGTGTTTCCCTTTTCACAAGTGGCCTCACAATTGCAGTCACAGTTAATTTATTTGAATTTACCTCTCCTTAGAGGACACCTCAACGTGGAGGTGCGCTTGTTCTCCCATTTGCTGCCATCTCTAGCAGTGGGCCTATAGACTCGGACCTACTAAACATTTTTAATTGGAAAGTGGACCCTTCCTGAATGATCTTGCAGGTAAGTAATCTAAGTCAGAATGGGATCAGGGCCTGGAAATGGATCCAACTCATGCTCATAACACGAGGACTTAAAGCTCCATCCAGTGAATGTGTTTATTCTCTAGTAGAAAGGTAATTACTTATCAGTGAAACAGATCTTCACTGCAAGGCTAAGATTAACTGTGAATTGAGTTTCCCAAATAAGCCAACAATTGCATCAGCACAAGTAAAGAGTTGCAAGAAAATATTTGATCTGTTCTCTTACGCACAGAACAGGAAATAACTGCAACGTTCAACAAAAAGATATTTTACAACAATTTCTAAATAATCAAATTATTTTATTTGTATAGCTCTTCCTGCACATAGGTCAAAAGTCAGAAGATGCTTTCTGCATAGTAATTGTATATATAATCTCAAATTAGTGTATTAATCTTGTTAATTTTTATAAGCTAAATCTTACCCAAGAAGTGGTCGACCGATTAGTGTGAAGTCATTCCCACCAACCAAAAGAACCTACAAAATCATACACACTCATTATTTTTAAAAAAACTGAATCATCTCAAGAACTGTCTGATAATGCATTTGGTCTTCAGATCCATGATAAGGATGAAGATACTTATCTGATTAGATGGATGCAAACAGTTTCAAAAATCACTTTCATTCCCGTACCTTCTCTAATCTGATTCTATCCCCACAGTCTGCTTCAATATGATTTTCTATCAAGATCAAGTCCTCATTGGTTACTTTCCATTGCCGACTAGCAAAGTGGACAACTGCAAACAGTCTGCCATATGCTCCCGTGGAAATCAGAGTCTTTACATTTTGTACAACCTCTGCAAAACAAAAAGTTAACTGATAAAACTAGTCTATTGACACCATGATTTGCAGGTTTCACTTCAGAAATCTTCTCATCATTTGTCAAATGATAGCTGACTGGATAAAATCTCATGCTATTTTTTAAACTCTCTGTATCAAATTACATCCAATGCTGCTACGGCAGCGATGAGATGCCAAGTGCTTTATAAATGCTGCAGAGGGAGAATATTTCAGGTTATATCTTAATGGGATGCATACCGCAATGCCTGCACTTCATCTAAATTGCATAATTACAATTTTTACCAAGGTGATGTTTTGCCTCTTCTGCAGGATCTGGCAACTTGACTTCAGGCCAAGGTGGTTTTGACAATGATGTTACTGCTTCTTTTCTGTTGGATTTAATTTAAAATCAAAAATAATGTTAAAGCATTAGAAAATTTAATTAATACACTTTCTTATAAACATCACAGTTATAAAATCCATGTTCTAAACTTCAAAACTGGAGCTTTCAAAATGATTTTTCAGTTTATTAACACAAATGGCATTCAAAACCATTGTGAGAAGTACAAATCAATCTCACAATTAAAACAAGACAGGCTTTATTTCTGGTAGTATGGTAAATGCTATATGTACAAGCATTAAACTTGCTTGTTCAGCCCTGTTGTCTCAATAATTTGAAGAGACTGCACGCACTGTAGTATATTGTATGCTTAAAATAAATTTTTCTAACAAAGATAAGTGATACCATATTTACTACTGTAAAAGTTAATTTTGTTTAAAATTTGATCGTAGTTTTTCAGAGTTCAAACCATGTTGATTATTAATTATTTACTGATGATTACTACAGTTCATTCCTTTAAAAAGAATGCATGAGAAGCTTTTGATATTCCCATCAAGTTGAGAGGTAATCTCCCAGCCAATTAACAAGACTAATTATATTGGTCTGTCACAATGTGTTTTGAAAAGACTAACAAGAATGCAGCTCAGTTTAAATTGAAAGTTGCAGTATTCACTGAGAATACCATTGTGGGGCAGCAACAGAATTTTATATTTATGTGAAAATAATTACAGACTAGAGAAAAGTATCAATGCTCTCAAAGATGCCAAAAAACACCCGTAGAGGACAATTGAGCAAGGGGCCACAGCTGGAGTCAAAAGTGGCAGAATGGATTAACTAACATCAGCAAAATTGTCATTATCAGCCACAGAATCAACTGAATTGAAATCCTCAGAGAAGCAAAATTAGAACTTTTTCTTTTACTCATTCATTTGATGAGGGTGTTGCTGGCCGGCTATCATTTGCTGCCCATCCCTAGCTGTGCAGAGGGCAGTTAAGAGTCAACAATATTGCTGTGGGTCTGGAGTCACATGTAGGCCAGACCAGGTAAAGATGGATAATGGTTTCATGGTCAGAGTTGGATTCATAATTCTAGATTTTTATTGAATGCAAATTCCATTATCTGCCACAGCAGGATTCAAACCCAGATCCCCAGAACATTACCAGGGTCTCTGGATTAACAGTCCAACGATAATACCACAAGGCATCACTTCCCCAAGGACTTAAGGCCAGTGCTAGGATGCTGTACGAGATTTATGAAAAGGCACGTTTTAGTTCTCTATCAGAAAACAAAAACAATGTCACAATGTCTGCTAACTGAACTTAATGGTAAAATCATTACAGTCCATCATCTTGTCACCTGACATCAAGAAAAGAGTGCTTAGTCAATGGAGAAATGGATCAGACACTGATGAACTTTGATATGCCAGCAAATGTGACTGTTATCAAGATTGGTGATAAAGGACAATGTTTTAAATACAATTCGCCCCAAGAAGTTGTAGTTCATAATAGTATGATCTTGTATGGTGGATGGCACAAAATTAAAGCCAATGGTGATATGGTGTAGTGGGAATGTCACTGGTCTAAGAAACCGAAAGATCTAGGATAAGATGCTGTGGACTGAGTTCACATCTCACCATGGCAGCTGGTTGAACTCAAATCCCACTAATTAAAAATATATCTGGAATAGCAAGCTTGTTGCAGTAATGGTGACCATGAAACCACTGTCAAAAATAAAAACCCATCTAATTTAGTAATATCCTTTAGGGAAGGAAGTCTGCTATCTTTACCCAGTCTGGTTTATGTGCGACTCCAGACCCCCAGCACTGTGGTTAACCCTTAACTAAACTATGAAATAGCTAAAGTAAGCCACTCAGTTCCTGAGCAATTAGGAAAGGGCAACAAATGCAAGGTTTGCCATCAAAATTCATATCCTATGATACAATGGGAAAAAAAATTGCAAACTGTCCTCGAACAGAAATTTCAGGAAAATGTGTTGTCTGTCTTTATGAGAAAGGTGGTTGCAAAGAAACACTGAGTTTGAGACCAGAAGGACCGCACAAAGAAAAATCTTTGCTTTGCTGAGAGATACTCAGATTCCACCTTGTCAACGATGTAGTCTGTGATGTGAGATCAACCAATATCGATGTGGCATTTTTCCTGGTGGGCTTACCATTGCTGTTCTGGCCTTGGATGTATGCATACCAAAAGCTCTCAAAGACAGTCTCTGAAAGATGTAGAACAACTGGATATTGGAAACATTCACTCGGAGCAGAAACACGCAAGCACCCTCACTACTAGCAATGCTAGTGGATGTGTGGAATGAACTTAATCCCAATATTGCCAAAAGAAGCATTTCTATAATGTGAAAATGAAAAAGTTTCACAATATTGGTACTTAGAGATTACTTGCAGAGTCATGATGCCAAAGTTATTAATATTACTGATAATGATGATGGTGAGGAAAGATTCATGTGATAATCTTATACAGGTAGGCTGTTGGGATAAACTGCTCAGAGATTCAAACGGTCATCAGAGTGATTTCAACGCCAAGTACCGCAGTCAATATGATATGGTGCATAGTTATATTGTGTTAGATGAAATGTATATTGTTCATAATATTATTTTAAAAAATGAATATTACAAGAATGAGTTCCTTAGTGTTGTTGCTTTTTACTTTATTACATTGTGATCGTCTTTTCTGGGCCAGTCAATCATGCCTGTTAATCAATCGAAAGCTTACCCACGCAAAATGCCAACCTTTTAGCCTACAAACTTGTTCTCGAATACTAAACTCCAACTGATGGTGTTAGCAGATGCTAATGGCAACTTTATTTTTGCATTGGTCTCCTTTGGAGAACTGACCTTGGCCAAAAATTTTGTTGAGCAACAAGTTACACCATGCTGTTTTGTGTGGCAGTTTTCGTTAGGTGAGACCTCAATAGTGGCATGACTGAAGAATTAAAAAGAAGACTGCTTCTAAGTGAATGGCAAATATTCTTAATCTCTGTGGCCTAATGGTCATGATTTGCAGGACCTCTGAGTTGTGACCACAGACGCCACCACTGTATCTTGATCTTTGATGTTTAATTACTGACTCACTAACAGTGATCATTTTGTCTGTGACTCCACCTCTGTTAGGGTTCCTACATTAGTAATGTTATATTGTCAATGTTCTACTAACACTTAACAGACCAAAAGTGTTAGTAAAAATGTTTGCCAAACAAAAGAGAAAGGAAAAATCAATTCTAAACCACAGATAAAATCACAAAGTTTGAATTGTTTTCCTAGACCGAGAAATGAGTGACAGCCATAAATTACATTGTCAGCAGGTAGTTTGCACCCACACGTGCCAGGCCTTTTTGCCATAAATGAATTCTGCAAATAAATTTATACTTCATTTCATAGTACTTCTGTCGAGTGCCTTGGAATGGTCATTACAATAAACATAATATATTAAAAACAATTGATGTTTTTTGTCATAGGAAATCTTGTACTGCACAAAAGGAGAAACTGATTTTATTGTGGGATGAGTTAGTAATCAGATGACGCATATTTTAACATAATGGCAGTTTAACCAGAGTAGAATAATTTTTTTTTATTATGCATTAAGTTATAGTCTAAATGCACTACATGGAAGGATGGTGGAAGAAGATTGCTTTAGAAATGGCAACTAAAGTAACCGATTACCTTGGTTGAAGCACACTGCTTTGAGAACTCTGATATCTTGCCGTATATAACAACGAAGACACTGTAAGAGAGAATGCTATTTGTTACACATTATATGCATGTGACATATCCATGGATCTAAATCAGAAACTGCTAATTGTGTAAATAATTTAAAATCACAAATTCTTTTTTGAATGAAACATGTACTGTTCTCATTGCTTTTTGGAAGCATTCATGCTAAAAAATAATTTATACTTCTATGTCCTCTGTCGAAATCCAAACACGTACTGTGCCTCTCTCAGTCCAATTAAATGTTCAACGTCTTTTTTGTTCCTCAAATAAAACAATTTTATCCATCTGTTTCTCACCCTTCCCTATCTAAGATCAAATTCAAGGCCTGTTTATCATGGGAAATATTTTCCCTTACACCCACTGATATTCAGTTTTTGGTTAATGCGCGTGGTTACAACTTTCACTAACTATTGAGGCTAACATTCTACACTCTGTATAACACCTGCCAAAAAGCATTTGAAATCCTTTGTTGTAGTAGTGGAGAAACAGTGTGTGAAAAAGGAAGTTATGCCAAACCATTCTAAAATACTGATTAGGACTATGCTGGAGTATTATGTTCAGTTCTGAGCTCCAAATTTAGGAGAGCTTTCAAGGCTAAGGGAGGAATGTGCAAGAGATTTACTAGAATGATACTAGGGAAGAGGAATTTCAGCTATTTAGACAGACTGGAATTGGATTCTGCGATTGTTCTGCTTAGAACAGAGGAGTTTAAGAAGAGAATTGAGAGAGATGTTCAAAACCATAAATGGATATGGTGAAATAAATAATGAGAAACTTTTTACAGTGGCAGGAGTGTGCAACCAAAGGGCACAAAATTAAAATGATTCACAAAAGAGTCTGAAGCAACACAAGAATTTTTTAATAAAATGAGTTGAGCTGTGGAACACTTCCTGATAAGGCAGTAGAAATGTATTCAACAATATTCTATTCAGAACCAGAGAAATAATTGAAGGAAAATGTACAAGGCTATGGGAATAAAGCAGGTGAGTCAGATTAAATGGGATAATCTTATCAAAATACTGTCACAGCAAGCAAATGACTATCATTCTGTTTTATGAATATGTCTCCACTCTATTACTGACCAGTAGGTATAAACCCACAAATCAAGTTCAGGACATTAAACAAAGTGCACAATTACTATTGAATAGACATGTCATTATTAGGGAAGTAGCCATACTTCATCTAAAACACAATTGGTTTCCTCATAAGTTGTGCCAGTTAAACATACTGTGTAAACATACTGTGTTCTGAGTGACAATCTCCCAATTAAGTAGTCACTACCAAAACTGTCTACAAGAATGCTTTGAAATAAAGAATATTAATCCATTATATACCCATTAAGGACATTATTAAGCTGGAGAGGGTTCAGAAGAGATTTACTGAGATGCTACCAGGAATGGAGGATTTGAGTTATAAGAGGAGGCTGGGACCCTTTTCCACTGGCGCCTAGCAGGTTGATAAGTTACCTTACAGAGATTTATAAAATAATGAAGGGTATAGATATGGTGAATGGCAGGTGTCTTTTTCCCTAGGGTGAGGGATTTTAAGACTGCGGGCATATTTTAAGGTGAGGGGGAAAAGATCTTAAAAAGACATGAAGGGCAATTTTTTTTTACATAGAGAGTGATTCATGTGTGGAATGAACTTTCAGAGCTCTTCACACTGGTGGATGTGGGTACAGTTACAATGTTTAAAAGACATTTAGATATGTACAATGAATAAGAAAGGTTTGGAGGGATATGGGCCAAGCACAGGAAGGTGGGACTAGTTTAGTATGGAATTATGGTTGGCATGGACTGGTTGGACTGAAGGGTCTGTTTCCATGCTGTTTGACGAAATGACAATGTGACGAAATCTCAAATAACAGGTATTCCATGGGACAAGATGATGCAAATCCCTCCGATGTAGAATTACTGTCATTTATATTAATTCTATTTAATTGACTGTTTAATTGTGTTCAGGTGGCGAGCAGGAATTGGGGATTCATTTGCACTCTGTATACATGCTCTAGAGCACAGTGGTAATGTCCTGACCTCTGGGCCAGCAGACCTGGGTTCAAGTTCCACCTGCTTTAGAGGTGTGTAATAACATCCCTGAGGGGGTTGACTAGAAAATATCTTGTTCTTCTATACGTATAAACTGATCAAAGGCCTTCTGGAACCATGGTAGTGTCCTCACCTCTGAACCAGAGGTCCAGGTTCAAGACCAACCTGTTTTCACACGGATGAATAGGTTGATTAAAATAAGTAAGAATGGACAAACAATGGTGTTTGGATTTGGAGATGCATGTTTGACATCTCAGCTAATGATACAATTGGAAAGGTCAGATTCCAGAATAAAACTTCGATTACAGAATCACAGCTGACACCAGCTCTTCAAACGAGTATTGTTAGTTACAGCCAATCATCTAGTTTTTCCCCAACATGCTTGCACACTATTTCCATCTAAATAATCACCCAGCCTACAACTGTACCCCCATTACCCCTCATTTACCATGGCTAATCCACGAAGCCTACACATCTTTGGGCTGTGGGAGGAAACCAGTGCACCCGGCGGAAACCTACTCAGGCACAGGGACAACATGTAAACTCCACACTGTCACCCAAGGCTGAAATCAAACCCTGGCACTGTGAGGCAGCGGTGCTAACTACCGGGCCATTGTGCTGTCCTCTGTCCCATAAAGGACATCGAGGGCCCACAAGAGTGTGATTGTAGACAGTGCAACACATCAAAGAGGGGGATATTGCTGGATGCTTTACTCCAGGAGGCTCTGCACCTAGACTTAGGTAGCATTCAAAGCACACCAATGTAATGATAGCACAAATTGATATAATTAAGCATGATCGTGGCCTTACAAATGCAGCTGTAAGATGACATCAAGCGGGACCCAAATATTAAAGGGTACATAACATTTAGGAAGGACAGGAAGCAAGGAAAATATGGAATCGTGGCTGTGTTAATTAATGATGGTATTAACACAATAGAGAGGGAGAACCCAGGTTCAAGTAACCATAATGTAGAAATTGGACAGGGATGAGAAATGATTAAGCAAGAAGTCATTTGTGGGAGATAGTAGGAACTGCCGATGCTGGAGTCTGAGAATAACAAGGTGTGGAGCTGGATGAACACAGCAGGCCAGGCAGCATCAGAGGAGCAGGAAAGCTGATGTTTTGGGTCTGGACCCTTCTTCAGAAATCTTCCAGTGCCACCCGAAGGCTGGAGGAACAGCGCCTCATATTCCGCCTGGGAACCCTGCAGCCCAATGGTCTCAGTATGGACTTTACAAGCTTCAAAATCTCTCCACCCCCGACCTCATCCCAAGACCAGCGCCCCCCCCGTCCCCGCCTCCTTGACCTGTCCATCTTTTCTCCCACCTATCGCTCCTCCCACCTCACTGACCAACCCCACCCCCACTTCCTACCTACTAGCCTCATCCGTCCCCACCTTGACCTGTCCGTCTTCCATCCCACCTACCCGCCCCTCTCTCCTCACTGACCTACCCCCATTCCAACTCCCTACCTTCACTCACCTTTACTGGCTTCATCCCCGCCTCCTTGACTTGTCCGTCTTCTCTCCACCTATTTGCTCCACTATCAACCTTCTATCATCGCCTCCCCCTCTCTCTATTTATTTCAGATCCCCCTCCCCCATTTCTGAAGAAGGGTCCAGAACCGAAACGTCAGCTTTCCTGCTCCTCTGATGCTGCCTGGCCTGCTGTGTTTATCCAGCTCCACACTTTGTTAAGTCATTTGTGGGAGTTGTGTATAGGCCCCACCATAGAACCACATTGTAGGGTTGATAATAAAGAAAGAAGTAGTTAGAACTTGTCAGAAAGGCAACGTGACAATCATGGTAAAATTGAAAGGGCAAAGGCAGAGTAGATGCGGAGTCTGTAGAATATTTTCAGAATAGTTTCTTAAAACTATACGTTCTGGAGCCAACCAGAGAGCAGGCTATACTGAACTTGGGATTGTGACATGAGTCGGGATTAATTAATTAGCCAACACTTCCGTTCAGATAGCAGTGACCATAATATGATTGAATTTTATATTCAGTGTGAAGGAGAGAAGAGTGGGTTCATGGCAATTATTTTCAGCTTAAATAAGGGAATTATGAGACCACGAAAGCGGTGGGAGCTAAAGTGATCTGGTAAATTAGGTTAAGAGACAGGTGAATAGAGATCAGTGAGGATATGTAACTGCACCTCCTCCACAATAATACTCGATACTGGATCTCCCCAAGCATGCGTCCTCAGCCCTCTACTGTACACTCTGTACACCTACAACCGTGTTGCCAAATTCCGAATGAACGGCATCTACAAGTTCGTTGACGTCACCACCATAGTGGGACATATATCTAACAACAATGAGTCCAAATACAGATGGGAGATAGAGGGTTTGGTGTCGCGGCACAATGAAAACAATCTGTCTCTCAACATCTGCAAAACTAAAGAGCTGTTCATTGGCTTCAGAAAGAAAGGAGGAGAACACACCCCCATCTACATTAATGGAATTGAGGTTGAGAGTGTGAAGAGCATCAAGTTCCTCGGAGTGACGATAGCCGACAACCTGTCCTGGACTTCCCATGTAAATGCAACAGTCAAATAGGCACAACAACGCCTCTTCTTCCATAAGCAGCTCAGGAAATTTGGCATGTCCATAAGGCCCCTCACCAACTTCTAAAGATGCACCATTGAAAGCATACTGTCTAGAGTGAATAATGGCCTGGCTCTGCCCAGGACCGTAACAAACTACAGAAGGTGGTGTGCACAGCCCAGACCAGACCATCACGGAAGCCAACCTTCCGTCCATGGACTTTATGTACATGACTCGCTGCCACGGAAAGGCGGCCAAAATCATCGCACCCTGGTAATGACCTCCTGCAACCTCTTCAATCAGGTAGAAGATCCAGAAGCCTGAACACACGCATGAGTAGGTTCAGGAACAGCTTCTTTCTGGCTGTTATCAGACTGTTGAATGGACTCTAGCCTCAAATAATGTAACCTGTACGCCTCTATGTCTTTTTGATCTATACATCCTTTGCTTGCTATGATCCGCCTGTACCACTTGTAAACAAAGCTTTTCACTGTATTTCGGTACAAGTGACAATGAATCAATCAACAATCAGTCAATCAGACGTTGTGGCAGACACTTAAGAGTCATAGAGCTATACAGCATGGAAACAGACCCTTCAGTCTAACTTGTACATGCCGACCAGATATCCTACATTAATCTAATCCCATTTGCCAGCATTTGGCCCATATTCCTTTAACCCCTTCCTATTCATATATGCATCCGGATGCTTTTTAAATGTTGTAATTGTATAGGCTCCACCACTTCCTCTGGCAGCTCATACCATACATGCACCCCCTCCACGTGAAAAAGTTGCCCCTTAGGTCCCTTCTAAATCTTTCCCCACTCACCTCAAACCTATGCTGCCTAGTTGTAGACTCCACTACCCTGGGGAAAAGGCCTTGGCTATTCACTGTATCTATGCCCCTCATGATTTTGTAAACTTGTATAAGGTCACCGCTCAGTCTCTGATGCTCCAGGGAAAGTAGTCCCAGCCTATTCAGCCTCTCCCAAAGGCTCAGAACATCATTGTGAATCTTTTCTGAGCCCATGCGTGCCTTTATTGGTCAGTGCATTGAGTACAGGAGCTGGGAGGTCATGTTGCAGCTGTACGGGACATTGGTTCAGCCACTTTTGGAATACTGTGTGGAATTCTGGTCCACCTGCTATAGGAAAGATGTTGTGAAACTTGAAAGTGTTCAGAAAAGATTTACAATGATGTTGCCAGGGTTGGGGCCTTTGAGCTATAGGGAAAGGGTGAACAGGCTGGGGCTATTTTTTCTGGAGTGTCAGAGGCTGAGGGCTGACCTTATAGAGGTTTATAAAATCATGAGGGTATGGATAGAGTGAATAGACAAGGTCTTTTCCCCCCGAGTTTGGGGGGGGAGTCCAAAACTAGAAGGCACAGGTTTAAGGTGAGAGGGTAAAGATTTAAAAGGGGCCTGAAGGGCAACTTTTTCACGCAGAGGGTGGTGTGTGTATGGAACGAGCTGCCAGAGGAGGTGGAGGAGGCTGGGACAATTACAACATTTAAAAGGCATCTGGATGGGTATTTGAATAGGAAGGATTTAGAGGGATATGGGCCAAATGCTGGCCAATGGGACTAGATTAATTTAGAATATCTGGTCGGCATGGATGAATTGAACCGAAGGGTCTGTTTACGGGCTGTACAGCTCTATGACTGTTAAGTTTCACAACTTAAGGGGACAGAATCCCTGCAGCGCAGAGAGGGGCCGAGAGTAGGAGAGTCTACACCGACTTTCCCAAGTGAAGGGATACACGAGAGAATACCCAGATAACAAGCCTTGAAGGAGGTGGTGGGGGGTGGGTGTCCCAATGTACACCATTCCACTCACATAAACAGACTTTTAAAAACCAATCGGCATTTTCCCAGAAAACTGTACAATGGGTGAAAAAAATACTGGATTACTCTAATACCTCCGCTCTCATCCTAAACGCGGTAGGGTTCCCCTTCATCTCTCCGTCTGTCTACACCTGAGGACTATCTCCTGCCAGCTCCAGAGAGACAGGCACCAACTGCCAAACACGGCGTTTACACCTTTTCGTTTCTCCCTCCGGCCGTTCCCCTTCCTCCTGTGTGTGAGATCTATCTGTTACCCCCCGGTGTGTGAGAGGCGGCTCTTACCTGCGGCCCGCGCTCGGCTCCAACCGCCGAGGAAGCGCACGCACCTCGACGCCATCTTGGCCCTTGCCTCCCCAGGAACAAAACCGAACGGCTCCGGGCGGAAGGGGAAAGTGCACGGACTGGCGTGCGCGAGCGCCGAAGTGGTTGGGGAAGGGGGAAGAGAGAGCGCGGCGGACAGGAAGTGGGAGGGGAATGGTGGTGGATTGGTAAGTGAGGCAGAGCTTGCTGTCTGGTGGGCCGTGTCTTGAACTTTATTGATGGGCTTCTCCCGAATGAAATGTTCATTCTAAAGGATGTTCTATTCTATTCTATTACACTCTACCCACTGCCTTAGAACATAAGAACTAGGAGCAGGAGTAGGCCGCCCGGCCCTTCGAGCCTGCTCCGCCATTCATGGGCACAGAAGAAGGGCATTCGAGTCCTTGTTACCTCTCCCTCATTCCTAATCACCATCCCCCCACCAAACTGTCGCCCCTTTCCCTCTTGTGACTCTGATTTCCCTTTCCTTCCCTTTTGGGAAGATAGGTCCCAGGCTTTATCACTTATTTTTTTCCCAGAAAAGACAGTAATTCGTCATAGACCTGGCCTGCTGTGTTCCTCCAGCTCCACACTGTGTTATCTCAGCAGTGATGTATTATCTCTCAGTAATTCATGTTGCCTTTGCACCCTTGTCATAGATTCGTACAGCGCGTAAACAGACCCTTCTATCCAACACATCCATGCTGATGAGATATCCTAAATTAATCTAGTTCCATTTCGCCAGTGTTTGGCCCATATCCCTCCAAATCTTTCCTATTCATATAACCATCCAGATGCCTTTTAAATGTTGTAATTGTACCAGCCTTCACCACTTCCTCTGGCAGCTCATTACAGCTCCATACACACACCAAGCGCTGCGTGAAAAAGTTATCCCTTAGATCCCTCTTAAATCTTCCTCCTCTCACCTTAAACCTATGACCGCTAGTTTTAGAGTCCCCTACACCAGGGAAAAAAGATCTGGTTGATTCACCCTATTCATGCCCTTAATGATTTTATAAACCTCTGTAAGGTCACGCCCACCAAACCCTTAAATCTAGTTCTTGTGATGGGGTTAGTTTTGCTTGTTTACTTGGATTTGTGGTGTACCAGTTGTGTAGAACAGTAACAACTTGTGCATCAGGCTCTGAGTACCAATATCTTCATGATCGAGATACTTCCTTAAAAAAAAAGCTGCATGGTCCTGGCCAGACCCAGAAGTCTAGTGAACCTAGCAGAAGCAAAGGAAGCAAACCTGGCACAGAACAGAAGTTGCTGGAAAAGCTCACCAAGTCTGGCAGCATCTGTGGTGAGAAATCAGAGTTAACATTTCAGGTCGAGTGCCCTTCCTCGGAAGCAAATATGGCATTCTGCATGTCATGACTTCGTGGGACTTCCTGCCCCACATCCAGAATTGTTTGTGAGTCTGTTAATCACACAAAGACCCACAGTGGAAACTCAGGACCATGAATAAAACATGATCCTTGAATCGAGCAATTGCTAACAATGCCTTTACCAAATTTCCCCTCAACCTCTTCTGCTCCACCTGGAACAATCCCAGCTTCTCCAAAGTAACCTTGTATCGAATTTCCTCAATTCCTGGAATCATTTGGTAAATAAGTCCATATGATGTAGGAATAGAAGCAAGCTATTCAGCCCTCCCCCTCGACTCTGCTGCACCATTCAATGAAATCATAGCTGATCTGATAATGCTCAACTCCTCCCTTTTCCTTGTAACCTTTGATTCCCTTACTGATTAAAAATCTGTCTATTTCAGATAAGACCATAAGACGTTGGAGGAATTTCCTCTGCACCCTCCAGCTCTTCCCAAAGTATGGTGACCAGAATTAAATACAGTACTCTGGTGTGGCCTAAGCAGAGTTTTACAAAGGTTTAGCATAACTTTCATGCTTTTGTGCTCAATTTTTCTATTTATGATGACCAAGATCCTGTATTCTTTGCTAATTATGTTCTCAATATTTATAGATCCTGAGTTCTTGGTGTGACACAGATTCAGTAATGAACAATCTATGTTATACTGGTCTGTTTAAAAACTTGAAAATGTAATTTATTTTCTCACCAATTCTTGGCATTCTAGTCTTTGGTGAATTGTATAGGATAAGCATTGATCTAAAACATAAGCAGACTAAATACTGGTTGTGGGAGTAAGTCAGCAGCTGGAAATTATGTGGGGAGAAACTCAGCTCCTGACTTCCTAAAACCTAGCTACCACCCACACAGCATAAATTGTAGGTGTGATGGGGTATTTTCCACATATCTAGATGAGTGCAGTTCCAACAACTGTCAAGATTTGATCTGCATCCTATCCAACATTCATACCTTCCACCACTGGCTCACAGTTGTAGCAATGTTGTTCAAATATCAGGTTATAAGATCATGTTTTGGGATGGTGTTTCTAATTTTAAGGTAAAATGAGGGAGTGATGTGATTTAATTTGAAGTTGGCCTGACAGTAAGTCTGGATGGTTTGATTATTAGAGATTACAGGAGGCCCAGATGATTTCACTTGGAAGAAGGGATTTGCATTTAGATGTAAGGGCAGCTGCTTTTTCAATTTCTGCCTTGGGAGTCATAGAAAAGTATTGAGAATAAAGTTTTGGTCAAGATCTGTAGCTCGGGTTGTGAATGAGTTTGTTGACTTGCTCGCCGAGCTGGCTTGTTTTTGTTCAGACGTTTCATCACCATGCTAGGTGACATCATCAGTGGAGCCTCCGATGAAGCGATGTTATTCTACTCCGCTTGGAATTTATACTGTCCGGTCTGTTATGATGAGTACTGTCATTTCCAGTTTTGATCTGTATGGGTTTGTATTTGGGGTCCAATTCTATATGTTTGTTGGTTGAAGTATGGATGGAGAACCATGCCTCTAGGAATTCCTGTGTGTGTCTATGTTTGGCTTGGGCTACTATGGTTACTTTGTCCCAGTTAAGTTGATGGCCTTCATTGTCTGAATGTACCAATATTAAGGAGAGTTTGTCGTGCCGTTTTGCTGCTAGTTGATGTTCATGTATTCTGATGGCTAGTTTCCTTCCTGTCTTTCCAATGTAATGTTTGTGGCAGTTGTTTCATGGTATTTTGTAAATCACGTATGCTCTGCTTGTTGTGGGAATGGGGTCTTTAATCCTTGTAAGTGTTTGTCGTAGAGTGGCTGTGGGCTTGTGGGCCACCATGATTCCTAGATGTCTAAGGAGTCTTGTTGTCAACAATCATATAGAATTGGACCCCATATACAAACCCATACAGATCAAAACCAGAAATGACAGTACTCATCATAACAGACCAGACAGTATAAATTCCAAGCGGAGTAGAATAACATCACTTCATTAGAGACTTTACTGATGATGTCACCTAGCAAGATTATGAAACGTCTGAACAAAAACAAACCAGCTCGGCGAGCAACTCAACAACCTCAGTGATGAGAATGTTGGATTTTAAAATGTGTTTTGAACAGTTCATTTAATCTGACAATAGAGTAGAGTTAGAGTCTAAAGAATTGTAGTTGGCACCTGTCCATTTGAGTGATAGTGGACATTTAAAAAACAATGCATTTAGGTTGTGGCGGTGAGTGCATCTTCATTCATGCACTTCTGTTGATGGCTGAACAGGTCAATCCTTGAAAGTCTGGCTCTGCCAAAGAGCAGTGAATGAAGCTGACATTTTAGATTCATTAACAAAGTTGCTGGAAAAGCTCAGCAGGTCTGGCAGCATCTGTGAAGGAGAAAACAGAGTTAACGTTTCGGGTCCGGTGAGCCTTCCTCGAAACTGATGGTGGCTGGGAAAACGTCAGTTTATATGCAGCGTAGTGTATATGCAGTATATCTGCATATAAACTGACGTTTTCCCAGCCACCATCAGTTCTGAGGAAGTGTCACCGGACCTGAAGCGTTAACTCTGTTTTCTCCTTCACAGATGCTGCCAGACCTGCTGAGCTTTTCCAGCAACTTTGTTTTTGTTCCTAATTTACAGCATCCGCAGTTCTTTCGGTTTTGACATTTTCGATTGTTGTTTTCACAGTTGCCACCTGTTGCCAAGCTGCTGTTAACACTAGTCATCATTGGCATGAATGCCAGTGTGCAGGAGGAGGAGTCATTTTCCCCCTTTTGCTAGCTAGAGAATCAAAGTATGGTAGTTGCTATTTAGACATTCCTGTTACTGTGGCAACCATCCTTGAAGTGAAGCATTCTGTACAGCACTGGTTGCATCACCTAAAGAAGAGTTAATCAGCATTTCTACCTGAATACAAGGCCCAAGTGATTCATGTGCCATGACGATGAGCTTTTAGATGGGCAAGTTAAGAGCAAGCCGTAATGATTTTGGTTTACAGAATTCCAGAAATATCATTGAATGTCATGGCCATGTTAGTCTGCCTGGATCTGGGTGAGAGAAAGCAGTTAGGGACTGTAACTCTGTACGGTTCACCACTGCAGAATACAAGTTCTATGATTTATAATATAAGTTGTTAAAAAAGATAGTGTCTGTTCATAGAGCTTCTTGTCTTTTACTACACAAACATCTTAAAAGTTGAAAACTCGTAGTCTCCATAGGTATTGTTAACAGTGTACGATCTACTACATGCACCCCAATTGGCCTTGAAGTATGTGAGAGTTTCCCTTTTGAACTGTTCAAGCCCATGCAGGGAGCTCCTTCAAAAGCACCAAACAAACATATATCCATCAGCACCTAGAAGGTTAAGGGCATTAGACTACGAGTTCCCCTGCAATTTGCAGACCATCTTCACTTGGAACTATGTCACCATTCCTTCACTGTCACATGTTTAGAGTACTGAAGCTCCCTTTCTACAGCACCACATAGTCTGTTACGGTTCAAGAAGGTGGCTTACCACTGCCTTCTCAAGGACAGTCAGAAATGTACAGTAAGTACTGCTTTAGCCAGTGACATCCACTTCTGTGAGTGAATAATAAAAGCAAGTACTCCTCCAAGTCTGTCATTATGCTGACTTAGTACTTATAATTGTCCCTTCACTTGCTGGGTAAAGCACTTGGAACGCTTAACCTAATGGTTCTGTAGAGTTTGCTCCCTGTGTGGATTTGAGCAGTTCAAGAGGGAAACTGTCACACACTTTCTCAAGGTCAGTTAGGGATAGGCAGTAAATGCTGGTCTTGCCAGCGGCACTTGCACCTTATGAATAATGTCCTGAAAAAAATTCCTTCCCCGACCCACAATGGTTTGTCTATTTGACCTCATTGTATATAATAATACAATAAAGGTAAAGTCACTATAGTCTTATCTGAGCATAAGGCAGCTGTCTCATTTAGAGACTGACAACTGGTGGTGCTTTATCATGATGGTCACCATGCCTCAGGCGAGGGGCGAATTTGAGAAGGCAAGTCCTTCAGGGTAATCTCAGCTGGTGCGGGAATTGAATCCACACTTTTGGTGTCACTCTGCATGGCAAACCAGTTGTTCAGCCAACTGAGCTAACTGACCCTCTAATAATATTGCAATAAACTGCAGTTTAAAAGTTCTGAAATGCTCCTTGGATTTGAAGGTGTTCTTTCTTTGTGAATCCAGTCTTAAAAAACATTCCTTTACAGACATGTGACACATGAACTTTTATTTGAAAAATTTAGTAAACCAGTCTTTTCTTGCAACTTCAATTTGTGTACCTAAAGCAAGAATTTCATATAAGACACACCTTGTTCTTTAAAACATCCGAAATTTGTATGAAATGCTATTGCCAATAATAGACTTATCATTTCCAGGCATCCATCACATTTCCGCAAGGAAGTGCTTGATGGTCATTTTAAGTTGACTGAGATCAAAACGGCACTGTTCCTCTTGGAGGAAGGTGGTTATTTGCTGCTGCCTAATTGTGAGATTTGTGAGAATATATTTGGCATCTTGCATAGTCATGCCGCCCTATTAATTTATCTTTTCTGTAAAGGATAACACAAAATATGCCGAGGCCTCCAAGAACTGTCTGTTGTTTTAAAGAAGGGTGTAGAATTGGTATCGTGGCCATATTGTACAACTAAATATGTCTCCAGGAGACCTGTACCACTTCCAGGGTAGCCTTGTTTATTTCCTGCCAGGTGGTGCCTTGCTGTAACTCATCAGAAGTCTTCTGGCTCCCACTATGGGGCAGATGCCTTGAACAGGTCAACATGTAGGTCTGTTAATGACAACTGCTTAGATTTTTTTAATGTCTGTTACGAATGAATAGCTCATGTGGTATCCCTGAAAACAACACATGAAAACTGGTTTTCACTGGAAACAAGTGGGTCTTGGGCACCTGTAAAGTTGGCAAGATGCCCCTTCTCCACCCACTTCTCAACCACTGGCTTCATGTTCTCTGCAGGTGAAAAATGGGTGACAGAAGATTGAGCATTGTCGAAGATATAAACATTTTTTGACTGCCTTCCTGTTGCCTTTGTCTTGCCCATTAGACAAACTGCTTTTGAAAACATGGTGATGGCCTCTCAGGAGCACTGGAACAGGAACAGGCCATTCAGCTCATCAAGCCTGTTCCTCCATTCATTGAGATCGTGGCCAATCTGTGGCCTAAGTCTCTGTACCTGCCTTTGGCTTGTATCCCTTAATACATTTGCTTAACAAAAATTATCCATCTCAGATTTCAAATTAACAACTGATGTCGCATCAACTGCTGTTTGGTCTGACCCTAATCTTGCGAATATGCCCGTAGTTCTGGAATTTCTAACCAGTGGAAATGGTTTATCTTTATTGACCCTATCTTTTCCTTTCAATATCTTGAAGATGACCCCTTAACCTTCTAAATTCTGAAGAAAACAGTCTTCATTTGTATAATTTCTCCTTATAATTTAACCCCTGAAGTCCATGTATCATTCTTAAAAACCTATGTTGTATACCCTGCCCACATCTGCTCACTGTGCTTCAAATGGGGTGTAACCAGTCTGCTATTTTTCTTGGAGGAGCCGTTATTTAACTGGAGTAACTCCCTTCACTGAGCTAATTGCTATTAACTTATGCACTGCCACGTTAGCGATATGAATGCAGCTCACTAATAAACCAGTAAAATGTTGTGATAATATGAAACTTTCCATTTGCCCACACGACCTCTCAAGTAGGTGTGCTGAACTCCTATTGGTCTCTTTTCATGCATGTTTAACAGAGCCCATCATGTTTTGGGTTTTTTTTAGGATGACCAGCTGTTTCTCTGTTTCTCTGTCACCTTTAGTACGTGAACTGTGGTAACACAATATTTCCCCTCTCTTCACCCTACACCTGATGACAGAGACTTCAGTTGTCTTGGACCCATGTTTCATAATCCCCTCTAAACTCCTTTATCTCTCTTCCTTCAAAAAACTTTGACAGCTCATATTTTGATCCATGCTCTTTTTCATACTGTACCTCCTAATCACCTCTTCTTTGACATGACATAGACGTTCTGACCTTGCTTCTATTCATGAAACACTTTTGGAAGTTTTACGTTACCATTATAATTTCTAATGCAAGTTGTTGCAGTAACCGTTCACGATTTTTCTCCCACAGAAGTAAATTGAAGTCATATGTACAATTTTAATTGTTGCTTTCTTGTATTTATTTGTTGTATAGTTGCAGCAATGGAGAACTTTGTATCTCAAAATTTAGAGCTGTTACAAGAAGAAAGAGCGGCTGAAATTGAAGAGACCAGGTATATTTTCTCAGTGCTGTCCTTTCATGTAATGCTTATAATGTGTTTTTAGCATGTGATACTCAGCCCCATAACTCCAGTCTATAAATTTAACCAATAATTGAGTAACTTATGGTTAACAGTTTCATTTTGTCTGCAGAAGTGTTACAGGAAATAAAATCCCTGGTCCAAGGCTTTCCAATTTAAGTTAAAACCGCTTTGTTGAATATTCATGAGTTTATTATTTGTAGAAAACTTTAATATTGATTCTGGCCTGATTATCTATAACTTGCAGGAGATTTTTTATACGATGGCAGTACGTGTACACGTAACTTGATGGATATAATAAATATTGATCTGACTTTGTAATGGGACTGCTTCCAATCAGCCTGGTAGCAGGCTTATGGTGAGGTTGCAGACTTGCTCGCTGAGCAAGTTTGCATTTGATTGCAGACATTTTGTCACCCTGCTGGGTAACATCGTCAGTGTGCCCATAGTGAAGCATTGGTGTTCTGTCCCAGTTGTCATTTGCTGGGGTGGTTGGTATCACTTCCGGTTCTGTTCTTCAGTGGTTTGTATATTGGGTCCAGTTCCTTGTGTTTGTTGACGGAGTTCCGGTTGGAATGCAGGGGCTCCAGGAATTCACTGGCATGTCTCTTTTTGGCTTGTGGTATTGTGGATGTGTTTTCCCAGTTGAATTTGTGTCCTTCATTGTCCTTGTATATTGAGACCAGTGAGAATTGGTCATGTCTTTTGGTGGCTAGTTGGTGTTTATGTATCCTTATTGCCAGTTTTCTTCCAGTTTGGCCCATGTAATATTTCTCACAGTCCTTGCATGGTATTTTGTATATTACATTAGTTTTATTAGTTGTGGGTATGGGGTCTTTTACATCCGTCAGTAGCTGTCACAGGGTGGTTGTTGGTTTGTGGGCTACCCTGATACTTCGAGGTCTGAGTAGTCTTGTGGTCATCTCTGATATGTCCCTGATAGACGGTAGGGTGACGGGTGTGTCTGGCCGTGTTGTGTCTTCTTGCTATGGTCTGTTGCGGAGGTAACGGGAGATTGTGCTTTTTGGGTATCCATTCCTTTTAAAAACTCTGTATATGTGCCCCCATTCTGCTTTGCATAGTAACGGATTGCTGCAATGTGTTATGGCTCATTTGAATAATGTCCTGATGCAGCTCCGTTTGTGGTTGCTGGTGTAATTAAGTATCTGATCCGTATGTATTGTCTTTCTGTCTACACTCATCTATCTGGAGTTCCCCATTGTTCATAGAATAGATTCTTGCGTTCCACTATTATGTCCAGGAAGGGTAGTCGGTTGTCGTTCTCTTCTTCTTTTGTGAATTTTATTCTGGTGACGATGTTGTTTATGTGTCATTGTGTTTCTTCTAGTCTTGTGTGTTTGATAATCACGAAGGTGTCATCTGCATAGATGGTTTGGGTTGGATATTGGGGAGCACTGTCCATCCTAATCTTTGCATTACCGCTTCTGTTGTCAGTCCTGATATTGGGGATTCCGTTGGTGTTCTGTTGATTTGTTTAAATATATGGCCATTGAAGATGAAGGTTTATGGTGGCAAATGTTTGGGGAACAGGGGTTGTTGTTCATGGAAATTCATGGAAACATCAGTAATGAACAGTCTGTTGTGTGTTCCCCTGGGCTGTACTATTTGATGGAATGCTTTCCATAAAATGAAACTGACACTGCAATCTCCAGAAGTCTTAAAATATAAGTGGCTACGAAATGGAAAACAGATCACAGATAATTGACACTTGGAAAGTCATAAGAGTTTGCACCCAACAAAAATCCATACATTTTCATTTGAAAATTGGGCTGAGTGCTTATTATGCAACAAGGGATTCCAATCTTAAACAGCTGAGATCCAGTTTAGAATTGAGTTCGTTCTTTACAACAGAGGAATTCTAGTCCGACTAAAATTGTATAAATTGTTCAGAGGCATGTAGTGTGACTTACAGTTCTTCTAACGTTCTCTCACTCATATCCTAACTCATTGAATATTCTGTTCACCCCTCAGCCTTATGTTTGCTGTTCCACATTGGTAATCCATGTGCAGCACCACTGCAGGTGTGAAATATTCAGAGATGCTGCCAGGCCTACTGAGTTTCTCCAGCATTTTCTCTTTTTATCTCAGATATCCAACATCTGTGATATTTTGCTTTTTAAATATTCAGTGTTGTTTTCAAATTGCTCTACTCTAGCCTATAACCTTCTGAGATCTCTGAGCCCCTCAAATTCTGGCATCCTGCACGTCTCTGATGTTAATCACTGCAGCCTTCAGCTGCCTAAGACTTAAGATCTGACATTTCCTTCCTTAGCTACGTCGGAAGAGAAATATGTAATTTAGCCCCTTAACCTGATAGACATCTCAGTAAGACCTGCAACCAAACTCCATATAAAACACTGAAATAACAAACATTATTTATTTTACCTTTTAACTGTGTATTGTCTTAAAAGAGGTGAACACTTTAATATATCTGTTTCTCATGAGAATAAGTTAAAGAAATCTGTTAAATGCATAAGCAATATGTGCTGGGTTCATTTATGCTGGAGATGAACGGCCCACTTTATCTTCATTAGATTTAGTTGGCACTTGTACTGCATACGGAATTGGCAGAATGAAACTGAATTACTGATTCTGTGGTGATAGGTTTAGGCAAGCGTGTCAAGATTACAGAAGATCCCTACACTATTACACTGACTTAATCTATCAGCAGTAAATCCAGATCTATATTCTGTTTTCATAAAGACACAGGAACAAGAGAAAGCCATTTAGACGTCCATCATGCAATAAGATTGTAACTGATCATATATCCCTACATACCACTTGTTATAAAGCGGAAGTTGACCACCCCCCACCCCACGAGAACTAACCCCAAAGCACCAAAGAGGAGCACCTTGCCCCATAATCTGTAAAAGGGGTGTGAAAAGTGGTGTAACAAGGTGTAGAGCTGGATGAACACAGCAGGCCAAGCAGCATCAGAGGAGCATCAGAAGAAGGGTCTAGGCCCGAAACATCAGCCTTCCTGCTCCTCTGATGCTGCTTGGCCTGCTGTGTTCATCCAGCTCTACACCTTGTTATCTCAGATTCTCCAGCATCTGCAGTTCCTACTATCTCTGAAAAGTGGTGCAATCTGCCTTTCAGCAAATTATAGTGATTATATAAAATAAGTCCCTGACACTCACTTCACAATTAACAAGTAACAATTTATTTATCTAATTCTAACAGTGAACAAATTAACTAAACTATTAACAAACCAAATGAATCCCTTCTAGCTACTAGCTATTCCCAAATGAAACAAGATTCTAATAGTATGCGGTTCCAATAAATACAAGTCCCACTTATAAAAAAAGAATTTAGTCTCTTGAAATTATAGCCGTGTTACATGTCTTCCGGAATGTTTGGTGCCTTCTCCATGGATTATTCTGTAAGGAAAGCCTTCTCCTTCTATTCTTCTGTCAGGAAATTCACGAGTTTTGCTGTGGGTACCTTTATTCTTTAGATGATGCTCTCCCTAAGACATAGAGGAGTCTGTGAGAGTCAGGGATTCTCTCTTGAGAGCTGATGGCTGTTAACTCTGGCAGATGGCAGTTAGCTCTCCTGTCTTTGTCCAACTGCCCCCTGCTTTTTATACCCTTGATGACATATCAGTTTATTACAATAGGATTGATCCTATATTGTCAAAACCATCAGGTTTAAATCTAATTAGATTTTGGTATCTAAGTGCCCGGTTCAAATTATTTGGCTAAATTTGAAACCTTGTTGTCTTGCTAAAAACTGCTGCTTGGCCTGCTAGCTGTATGGCCTTTTGATACAAATGTTTCAGTGGTACTCTGTGTACTTGCAAACTTTCAAGCTGCTGCACACAGACGAATATTTTACATCTCTAAGCATTGAAAAAAAAAAATCATCTTTTAAAGGGACCATGCAATGCTGCCCCCCCACCACCGTAGCACTTTACAAACACCAACTTCTAACTTCCTGTCTCCCAAACCACAAGTACTCTACCCAACTTTGTAACACACTGGTTAACAGAAATCTATTATACTTTGATTTAAAATGAATCTTTTTTGTTTTTTCTTGAAAGCTGCAATTAAATCACTGCTTAATCTTAAATTATAGGAATTACTACCTAGTTTGTATAATCTTTCCTTGTTATTTATCTTATGGAGTCCTAAGTGGTATTGTGTTAAACATATGCTGCATACCCTGGGAGCACTTTATGGCATAGTGGTAGAGTCCCTAACTCTGGGTCAGAAGGCCCAGGTTCATGTTCCACCTGCTTCAGAGGTATGTGCCATAATACATCTGAACAGTTGAATAAAAATATCTATGTTTTACACTCGAAGGCCAATATGTCTTAAGCCATGGTGGCCAGAACTGTGTTCAGTGCTGCAAGTGAGGTGTAACCAGAACATTCTGTAACCTTCATGTACTGTTTTGTGACCAATCCTTGAACAGTGGCAAAGGAGAAACCATCATGATATTTGAATGATGCTCAGATATGTACTTAAAAGATCGTAAACTAAAAAGCTACAGAGAGTAGTATTAGGCTGAGTGGCTCAGCATCTTCAAACCTATGACCACTTTTATCTAGAAGGACAGGTGCAGCAGATACATGGGAACACCTCCACCTGCAAATTCCCCTCTAAGCCACTCCCTATCCTGACTTGGAAATCTACCACTGTCCCTTCACTGTCGCTGGGTCAAAATGCTGAAAATCCCTCCCTTCAGCATTGTAGGTCTGTCTACAGCGCATGGAATGCAGCGATTCAAGAAGGCAGCTCGCCACCACATTCTCCTTGTGTCTATGTGGGTTTCCTCCGGGTACTCTGGTTTCCACCCACAGTCCACAGATGTGCAGGTTAGGTGGATTGGCCATGCTGGATTACCCATTGTATTCCAGGATGTGCAGGCTGGGTGGATTAGCATGGGAAATGCAGGGTTACAAGAATAGGGTAGGGGGATGTTTCTGGATGGGATGCTGTTTGGAGTGTTGGTGTGGACTCAATGGGCCGAAAAGCCTGCTTCCACATTGTAGAGATTCTATGATTCTCAAGGGTGACGAGAGAAGGAATGCTGACCCAGCAGTGATGCCCACATTCCATGAGTGAATAAAAAAGCTCACTCAGTCGACTGAATGTTCTCCATGTTGTAAATTTCTATGATTTCCATGATATTCTAGACCTCTAGAATTCAAGCATTCCATTTTGTTTTGATTACTTTCTGTTTTGCTCATGAATGATTTATGTACCTGGATCTCCAAATATCTTTGAATCTCTGCTGTTTTGAGCTTACCCCATTTAGAAAGAATCCTTTTTATGGGCTGAGGCTGGGTGATCTCACACTGCCAACTTTGAAATTTGACTGTCATATCTTTTGTAATTTTATATTTCCATCTACACTGGTCTCAATGCTATTTATCATTGTGTCTTCAGAAAAATTGGGTATGTAATTTTCTATTCTATTATTTAAGTCATTAATGCACGCAGTGAATAGTGGAGGCTCAAACACAGATCCTTGCCTTATTTCTGTAGATGCATTCTGTTAATTAGAGTACCTGCCCATTATCTCAGTTCTCTGTAATCTGTCACACATCAATTTCCAATTAAGATCAATCATTTAACTTCAGTTCTATGAGCTGCAGCTTTGGCCACCTAGCAGAGACCTTATGAAGGTGATAAGTCACGCTGTCGTTAAATGTACAAACAGTAATTTCCTGGTTTCCCCTTTCCTAAATGGCAAAAGATGTGTACAGTTTTTCAATGCAAAGGGACAGTTCCCAGATGGAGAGAAGTTTGGAAGATTGTAGTTATGGCATCTACAAAGTTCTCATCTATTTCCATTAAAACCTTGAATTGGAAACCCTATCATTCTGACTGTCCGTTTCTTTCCAAATATAATTGCAAAACTGTTTTATGTTGATTTTGATACCCATACGTTTCTGTGCTTCAATAATTTGTGTGAAGCAGTCTGGAACATTTTACTACTTTAAGAGTAATACAAATGCAAGGTGCTTTTGTTGACTGATTAATGGCATTGTCGTTATGTGGTTGTTTTAAGGGCTTGGCAAGAAAACATTTCTGTTCAAGAACTCCAGCGGCGAGGTGTCTGTCTGCTGAAACTGCAAGTATCGAGCCAGAGAACGGGACTGTATGGACGCTTTCTTGTTAGCTTTGAACCGAGAAAGCGTGAGGCCAATGCAGCGCTACCCAGCAATAACTTTAGCTCTGGTATGTTTCATTTATTTTTTAATGCTATTCCATTGATTGCAATGAAGGTGTATCATGTAAAATACTGCAGTAACTGAATTCCAGTGTTATTAATCTCGTCTCTGAGGTTTCAAGGCTGGGAGCTTCACATATACAGACCTTGGACGTATTTTTCAGGTTTCACGCTTGCGTAAATAGTTTAGCCTACCACTGGCTTCTAATTCATTCAGCCCCCGGTAACTTCTTTCAAACCATATTAATGTGCGCCTTTACTGAAAAAGCTTTTATTTCTTTCAGTCATGGAATTGCGGTAAGCCTAGGGAGTCATCGCTATTGTCTTTGATAACAAGTTGCCACAATATCATATTTCTTCCCCTTCCTTTCCTCATGGAGAGAGAGATGCCAGCGCAGTACTTAGTTTCCTTCCTGTAACTTTGTGATCAGGGTCTCAGCAGAATGGAGATTGAACCTATGAGTGTATACTGTGCAAGAGAGAGGACTAGAAACTGCAGTTCAAAATGTTGTGAATCAACTGGCACTTTCTTCTTGGGTCGGACAATTGTGAAAGCCTGTTGTAAAAGCAAATTGAAATGCTGTAGTTCTTTGTTGGCCACAGGGAATGTTTTAGATTGTAATAGCGCTTATTTTAGCTACTGTAGATCATAGCATACGGGTTGACCTAGTGTTTAAAAGGACTCCACCATTATGGCCCCAAAAAATTGTGCTTTTGCCTGTACTTGGTGTTGATCCCCACTTTTCAGCCACAACAAAATATATCCAAATTCGTAGCCAGCGTCAGTTTCTTTGCCTTGCAAATGCAGGTTTAATTTAACTTCGAACGAGATGCAAGGAATTGAGCAGGCGATGTGAAGATGCTGTGGAAGTTAGGACATGCCAACATAGAATATGCGCATGAAACAATGGAGACAAATGAATTTTCCAAGAAAATGAGTGAAATATGAAACTAGATTCAAGCTAAAAATCTTAACATTTGCTAACTCAACATATAACAGTGCCATAGTCGCTCAAATATCATTAGCAAGGTTTTAGTATCACCAGAAATACATTACATGTATACAGACTTGAATGAGCCAAATCAAACCCTGAGCCTGGCAAAGATAGCAAACAACTAGTTAGTTGGTGTAACTGATTTTATGGGTTGAAGTATCTAATGGTGCGATAAAAGACTAAGATCGTCCAGAGATGACTAAAACAACTTTGCCAAAATAACCACTTTGCAAAGATTCCTCATCAGGCACCAGCAAAACCCTAAGTATACTTGGAGTTATCAGCAAAGTGGATTGTTTATGATTTTGACATGGAAAGATTTGAAAACAGTTCATCAAAAGCCACATTATGTGAGAGGCCAAGTCTTATTACAATAATACAAGGGTACATGGCAGATGGAATGAAATTAAAACGCATGGTAATTTGAAACCATTGAATCATGCTGAAAATCAAGTTTCTTGCAGAGACTTTTGTGTATCTTGTAAAGACTGTGTCTTTTCATTTTTAGTACTTTCAATTGTGGACTAAAATGGGGAAAAATGCAGTTTTATAAACCAAGGATTGGTGAGGGATTGCTGCAGTTTTTGAAAGCAAGTAACCTGACACTCACTGTAAGTTGTTAACACAGCTGCTGATACATGCTGAAGTAGATGATGTGCAGATGAGCTGGAGCTAAGGCAAGGGAACAAATGGAAATTCAGCTGGCAGCCAGTAGCTGATTGGTTTATTGGCTGGTGACTAGTTGTTGGTGGCAAAGGCCTTCTGCCTGCCATCAATGATGTGATTGGTTCCCAGGTAGCTGAGCAGTTTGAGTTGTGGACAAGATAGTAAAAAGCCATCAGATCTCCACAAGCTCAGGAGCTGTATCTGTTCTCTGCAGTAAAAGTCATTTAAGCTGGTTTTCTTCAGGCTTAATCTTTCTTTCTGTATGCTGTGGCTTTTAATTGATAAGTCATGAAGTGTGAATCAGTCACCCTGTGCCTCCTGCAAACAAGTGAAAGCATCTTGAAAAGGAAGGTTGAGAAGCAGTGTTCTGATCAGCATAAGAATCATTGCAGTGAGCCCTGTGAACAGGAACCGCAGAACACCCTTTTCAATTTTTCCCTCTGACCGTGCCACCCATTTTGTTTTCCATCTGTATGCCTTTCTGAAGTGGGAGGTTATGGAACTTAAAGTTTTATAACTAGTAGAGTTGGATGTCAATGGTTCCTAATTGTTTACCTGTAGATAGGGTCCCTTTATCTGTAACAAATAACATTCTTCTAGAGTAGAGAAACATGGTCCATGCTTCCGTCAACCTGAGTCTAAAAGTCAGATAAATTGCGGCATTCTGCATACTTTTTAAAAGCTTTAACTTTTGCAGCAACTCTTAGAATAGATTTCCAGCCCACTACCTCATAAAGGCATAGTAATATCCATGACAGCTGTTGGATGAAAATGGCTCGGAGTTATAGTTTGACAAGCTGTGGAATAGGTGCCTGGGTGGCCTACTTGAAGATTGAAGCTTATTGGTCTGGGACATGTTTGGATTCCATACAGCCAATGAGACCAAGAGATTCGCACAAAGAAATAGCACCCACATTTCAGTTACACCAAGTGGTACTCCAGCCTTTGGATGTGTATTTTCATAAGCCATTCATGGATCAGGTTCACGTCACATAGAATAGTTGGGTAGTTGATGGTGAAAAAAAAATCTTCACAAGATTGGAAACGCCAACCACTTGATGTTTTTTGTGTTTTCATCAAGTTACTGAATACTGTTAACCCACAAACTGTCATAGGATTCTTCAAAACTGCAAAATATCCAATTCAGTGGATAGACAAGGTGGTGGGAATTTGTTGTTGAAGACTAAATCTGAAGCTGAAAATGCTAATTCTGATAGTGTGGGATTCTCCCAATAATGGCCCCTCTAAAATGACTCAATGAATTTGATAAACATTTTGGTTGCTGAAGACGCTGAATTTTTGATGGGTCTCGAAACCATTTCATTGAGATTAAAGGTATGTTTACACAATTGCTTATTAAATAAACCAGTGTGACATTAATATAAATCAGCAATCTCCCACATTTCAAAATGACAGTCATCCACAACAGATACACACAGTTTATACTCTGTGTGTACATTGTCTCCATTTATTTTTAGAACAACTTTTGAGAGTTTCAGAGGTTGACATGTATACTTACGTCTATGGTGCACACAGTGTCCCCTTGCCTTTGTTAGTTCTTAATTGTGATGTGAGCATCACTGGCCTAACCAGCAGTTGATGACATTTTAAAATTATTTTTGAGAAGGTAGTATTGTCAAGCCACTTTCTTGAGCATCTGCGGTCTATGTGGCATACATCTACTAGCATGACATTTCTTTAGTGTAGAAATCATAATGCCTTTGTAAGAGAGAAGAAAATCCATTAATTTTCTCTGTTGTTGTTGTTGTTGTTCAGGGGATATTGTAGGTCTGTATGACAGCCAAGGCTCTACTCCATTGAACCAGCTTGCATCAGGCATTGTGACGCGCATCACACAAAACTCAATCACTGTAGCTTTCAATGAACCCAGTGACCAGTTAAACTTCGACAGTAACTCTTCCTATAAACTTTTGAAACTGGCTAATGATGTAACGTACAAAAGACTGACAGGGTAAGCATTTTTTGTCTTAAGAAGTGAATGCAATGATGTGTTTTTATGTTTAAAAAAAGATTGAAGTTGGATATTTGTTAATTCAACGATTTATGCAATGCTAAGATCATTTACACTATATTATATTTTCCTCATTGGAATCAGTTAGCATATTACCTTCATACTCCATACAAGCTTGGAGAAATGGAAATCAATAACAGCTTTTATGGCAATTTATTTGGACATGCATGTAGAGGTTGCAGAACATCTCTATATTAATACAATGAAATTTAACTGCCTGCAGAAAATTCTGATCTGTATTCTGATTTCATAGAGAGACAGGAACAGCACTAGGCCTTCATGCTTGTTCCACCAATCAAGTAGATCACAATTGATCTTTGATTGATTTCCATGTATCTCCTAATGATTTGATTTGATTTATTATTGTCACATATACTGAGGTACAGTGAAAAGTGTTGTCTTGAGTGCTTTACAGGCAGATCGTACTGTGCAAGTGCATAAGGGTAACCAAGCAGAGTACAGGATACAATGTTACAGCTGCTAAGAAGGTGCAGAGAAAGATCAACATTTACATTTAAAGAGGTCCACTCAAAAGTCTGATAACAGTGGGGAAGAAGCTGTTCTTGAACCTAATGTCCTGTAATTGGGATCTGGCTAATCGCAATTGCCTTAACAGGTCCATAATTTTACCTCCATTCTTTGAGTTTCAATTTTAGCAAATTTTCACAAGTGAGGTATATTATTAAAATCATTCTGGAACTTCATTTAAAATGATCTACTTCTTGAAAACATTCAGTCAGGTTAATCAGTTATGATCAGCCCTTTACAAATCCATGCTAGGCCCCTCTGCTTGTCTGAAAATTTAAAAACTGTTCAATTGCTGTATCCGTATTTGTAGGCTCTATTAATTTCGTGATAATTGATGTTAGGTTGACATTGCCTAGCACTTATATGAATGATCATCTATAACTAGAGAGAATCTAACGAACTCCACTTGACATTCGATGCCATTACTATCACAATGTCCTTTAATGGTTACTACTGAACAAAAACTGAATTGGACCAGCTATTGATATAAGAGCAGATCAAAGGCTGGAGATTTTGTGATGAATAATCACGTACTGACTCCCCAGATCCTGTCCATCATCTGCAGGTTGAGAGTCAGGAAGTGTTGGAATACTATACTTATCTAATTGTGTATCCAACAACAGCCAAGTAGCAAGACAAAATGTGCAGGATAAAATGCCTACTTCATTGGCACCTGATCCACCACCTTAAACATTCATTTTGTCCATGAAAGGTCTACTGGCAACAGAGTGTACAACTTAAAGGGTGAACTGTTGGAACTTGCTGTGGCTCCAACAACCTTTCAAACTCATGACCATTACCACCTAGAAGGATAAAGGTAGCAACTGTATTGGGATACCGCTTTGCCAAATTCCTATCAAGTTACACAATGTTCTGACTTGGAACTGTATCATCACTCCTTCATAACTGCTGAGCCAAGATCCAGGATCTCCTTCCATAACAGTGCCATGTGTACACCTCCACAACTATTGCAGTGGTACAAGTGGCAGCTCATCATCGCCTTCTAGAAGGCAATTAGGAATAGGCTTTGAATGAAGCTGATGTCAGGGAAGTCCATAAAGAAATAAAAGAAAATTAGTTTGTAATTCGCTGGTTTCTCTGATTCACTGTTCTCTTAAATGTGGAGTGACATGCCATTTTTCAATCTAAAAGAATGGCACTTGAGTCAAAAGAAGTTTGGAAGTTCATAGTTGAGGCACTGTTCCCATCTATTTATGTTAAACCTGGTATGAGAATTTTCTGGTCATGGAGATTTATCATTCTTTAGTATCTTAATTTTCTTTATTGCTTTTTTTTGAACTTGGTGAATCTGTTTCCCAGCTTCAGTAGTAATATCCTGTAAATGTCAGGCATCTGTTCCTATTTCTCCACTGTAAACACTGATGCAAAGTGCTTTGAAAGTAGTTATGTCCACTATTTCCTTACTTTGCTTTACAATACCACTGCTGTCTATGTTGATTTTGATATTCCTTGCAAGTTTCTTTTCACGTACCCTCTTGCTTTGCAATTTGGCTTCCTTTCTTGATCATTGTAGTTCTACTCTTAGAATCTGTACTTTTGTGCAGTATTTTTTTCCCTTTTTAGTGTTATGTTGTCTGTTTCTTCTTTCAATAGCAGTGAAAAGCATATTATTGCGAATCATGCACATCCTTTTCTTACAAAGTGATTCTTCTCTGTATTGCACCCTATAAATTGTTAGCCCTATAATACTTTTTCATTATTGTTTTTATTTCATGCTTCAGACTTGTGTATAAAAAAAGTCTGATTTCATCAAAGGTGCACTCAGTTTTTTTTGTTCATTTATTATTTGTTTCAGTGCTTTAAAGGCCTTGAGCCAGTATCATGCTGGACCTACTTCTATGCTCATCGATGTCCTGTTTGGCAATTCTGAGCCAAGCTCTCCCTCAGAAGATCTAAGTAAGATCAATTTCTTGCACATCTTTTGTTCATCATTCTGCTATTTGAAAGTGAAGAATTAATTCCATTGTAACTTTATAATATAGTAACATTGAGAACCTATAAAGTATGTGTTGACTTTGACTACTGTGACAGTTTTGTTTTTCAATGGAGAAGCATTGGTAACCTACTATTTTCTGTAGGAAAATGACATATACGTTATCATTTTTTTTGTTAAGCTCATGCTTACCAAAATAGCTAAACAAGACAAACTTTGAAATATTTAATTGTTTATCTGTAAAATGTTTACTTCATTATAGACTGAAATGCTACGATCTTTAATAAGAAGGGTAGTTTTAGTTGTGTTTGTGCTTTGTGGTGTACGTACATAGCAACTACAGTGTTAATGTGAGTTATTTCCTTTAAGAAGTGTTTGTTCCTGGTTTGTTTTTCTTAAGAAATCCCAGAACTGTACAACCCCTGCCTGGATGACTCTCAAAGAGAAGCAATACATTTTGCACTCTCGCAGAAAGAATTTGCAATTATCCATGGGCCTCCTGGTACTGGAAAGACAACTACAATTGTGGAAATAATTCTACAGGCTATAAAGCAAGGTCTGAAGGTGAGCCAATGGTTGATAATATGCTACAGAGGATAAAAGTGCAGCTCTAAATCATTCAGAGCACTTTTTAAATGTTATTTGAAAACCAAATTTAAGATCAAGGAAGAAGTGTAACAGATTCTTAAAAGCTAAGCAGTTAAATATCTTAAAAAGTTAGAGGGGTGTGTAGAAATGCAGATGGATTACAATAAGTGGATTGCTGAGAGACAACATTGAAGTCATGGGTTGAATGGCCCGTTTTGTGCTGAAGACTTCACTGTTTCCTTTTTAAAATGTTCTTGGATACACCATCAAATTTGAGACAGTAAAGGAAGCAAGGGTAAATTGAAATGATACATCAATAGGATGATGATTCTGTTGACCTAGCTCCATTACTGGTGCTCAAATCAGACTGTTTTGAAGAGTGCAATTATGAAGTTATTTTAATGAATAATTATTGAGCCGCTCGCTAAAGTATAAATTGATCATTCCCATACTCTCAACTTGCAGGCGTGTAACCTTTTGTTCTTTTTTAAGTATACATTCAGTTCCACCATAACATAAAATAGTATATTCTAAATCATAATGACTTAGTTTGCTTATTTGTAATTAGTCATCGAGTCATAAAGCTGTTCAGCATGGAAATAGACCCTTTGGTGCAACTTATCCATGCTGACCAATATCCTAAATAAATCTAGTCCCATTTGCCAACATTTGTCCCATATCCCTCTATAACATTCCAACTCATATACCCATCCAGATGCCTGTTAAATGTTATAATTGTACCAGTCTCCACCACTACTTCTGGCAGCTCATTCCATACATGCACCACTCTCTCAGTGAAAAAGTTCCCCTTGGGTCCCTTTTGAATTCTTTCCCCTCTCACCTTAAACCTGTGCCCTCTAGTTTTGGACTCCCCCACCCCAGGAAAAAGACCTTGTCTATTCACCCTCACCATGCCCCTCATGATTTTATAAACTTTTGTAAGGTCACCCCTCAGCCTCCAATGCTGCAGTGAAAATAGCTCCAGTTTATTCACCCTCTCCCTATAGCTCAAACCCTCCAACTGTGCAATATCCTTGTAAATCTTTTCTGAACCCTTTCAAGTTTCACAACAACCTCCCTATAGCAGAGAGACCAGAATTGATTGGTTCAGCCACTTTTGGAATATTGCAATGTCCTGTACAGCCCCTACATGATCTCCCAACTCCTTTACTCAATGCTCTGACCAATAAACGCGAGCATACCAAATGACTTCTTCACTATCGCATCTACCTGCGATCAAACATCAATCTTTTCTACTTCTTTACCCATTAGTCTGGTCTTTAGCTCAGTTGCCAGGCAGTTTGATTCTAGTAGACAGGGATGGTGTGGTTAGAAGGAGTTGAGTGAAGTGGGATTATTTAAGATGATTTTATTTCAGTCTGTTATGTTATGCAATGGCCTGAATTTTTGTTGCTAACATTGAATGAATGAATGAAGCTGCCCAATTTTTTCCATCATAAAGGTGAGCACTCATGCCCTTACTGTTATTCTCCAATGCAGACTCTGAGCCATTTAAATTTCCTTGAGCTTTTGAGCTTCAATATGCTGGCATTGGTCGCTGCATCCTCTGTAGGGGATATGTGCTGAGTAAGCAGCGCAAGCCATATTGACAAACATCCAAAAGCAAAATAATGTGGATGCTGAAAATCTGAAATAAACAGAAAAGCTGGGGTATTCCTCTTCAATCAATTAGGTTGAAGAATTCTAACAGCATATGGAGGGTCGAAACCAGCAAAATGAATAAAATTTAAACAATACACATGCTAAACGAAGTTGCCAACTCTAGAAGTGATATATGTTTACAGTATAACTTCTGGGTAATTGGGACAGCTGCTGAATTTCTGTGTTTTCACTATGCATGTCTACTGCCCTAAACCTACTGTCAAAGTTATTCCATAGTAAACGGGAGCACCCCATGGCCTTACCATTATTCTTATTACAAAATCCAACCATGAAATTAATCTCTGTTATTAGTTTGTGGTGACTTATTGTTATTCTAATGGTTCCAATTACTAAGAGAAACTAGTTGCCATTTTATATGTTGCTGAACATTGGCTTCTATGGTACAGTGGTAGTGTTCCTACCTCTACGCCACAAAGCTCTGGTTCAAGTCCCACCTGCTTCAGAGGCATGTCATAGCATGTTTGAAAGGGTTGATTAAAAATATCTAGATGAGGTAAAAGTGTAAAAGAGCGTTTTAGCAGAATGACACCACACAGCAATGGAAGAATATCAAAAGCTTTTGAACCACTTTTGGAACTGTGTTTACAGTTATAATAATCAGAAAAGACTGGTGAAATTTAGTTTATTTTGTTCACCTTTCTGTATAACAGAGATTTTAAGTGTAAACTGCACCAAATGCATCTGTTCCATCATGGTTTTCTCCTCTGGCTGTCTCTCAATTTGAAGAAAGTTGTTTTTGCTCAAAAGTGGAATTCAAATTGCTGATTAACATTAATCACTGTGTCTGGTAATATTATGACACATGCCTTGGGCAGCTGAGGCTTGAACCTAGGTCTTCTGGTCCAGAAATACAAGCAAAATTGCCATAATCTCAGAGGACCATGGGACTGCTCTCTAAGCAGTAATGGATATACAGAAGCATCTTGGAGAGACGACTGCGGTGAGTCTAACCGGAGGGTCACCGCACCTCAGTCGATGGGTGCAGATGGGAAAGCAGGACCTTCATGGTAACCTCAGCTGATGTGGGAATTGAAACTATGCTTTTGGCATTATGCTGCATGGCTAACCAACTCCCTTCTGGAGCTAATGACAATTCCACTGTGGCACAAGAGCTCTTCTAATGGTGCTGATCGTCTGTACCTGATTTCTGTTGTTGAATTCAGACCTAATGAGATTAGTTGGAGGATCTTAATTATTTACCTCCTACGTGAAGAAATTTGAGAGTAAGGCCAATGAAATTAACTGTGTTTCATTCGCCAGCCTTCTGGCATTTCACTGAGAAATGAAGCCTGGTGGAATTTGTAAACTTGCCTGACTAATTTTATTTGCTTTCTTTGTGGAAGTGTATTTTGCAAGGGGGAGGGAAGATCAAGAGCTAGCATGATTTGGAACCTGACTTCTATAATAAAATTTCTAATTGAAGGAAAAAAAATCACGTGGGAATTAAAGCCAATCAAGAAGAATGGGGTGATGAATAATTTAAATTTTCCCTTTTTGTAGAAAAAAGGCTTTAAGATATACTTTACTGGTGATTTAGTTCTAAATTTGACCAGGATTGGAAATACAGCATCTTATTGAAATTCAGGAGTTGTTTTGTACATCCCCAACTTTAAAATTAACTGGATTGAAATGTTCTTCCCTAAATATCCCAGGGACACACTACGATGGAGCTAGAAACATCGATCAGATATCCTATGCCTCCGTATTATTACCCTATATCTGACCAAGGCATTATATTATAAAAATATGCCAAGTAATACACCATACATTTGTGAGTGTTATGATGCCTGATAGCTCAACATGTCTAATTTTGATTGTTTTATTAACCTGGATGTCGAATGGTGCCTTATCAATTAACTTCAAAAATTCCTCCCCAGGTGCTGTGCTGTGCTCCCTCAAATGTTGCTGTTGACAACCTTGTTGAACGTCTAGCGCAATTTAAAACACAGATTTTGCGTTTAGGCCACCCTGCAAGACTGCTTGAGTCCATACATCGTTATTCTTTGGATGCTATATTAGCTAACAGTGACAACACCCAAATAGTAATGGACATCCGGAAGGACATCGATCAGGCTTTTGTGAGTAGCTCCACAAGAGGGAACCAGGTTGCAATTTCATTTGGTTTGTTTCATATTTTCTGCAGAATCATACTATTTAAAAATTATCTAATTTTCAGTGAATCTGCAACTTGTTCAACTGAATTCTTTCTTATTACTTGCTCTTCCAAAGCTGATTTACTTAGAGTCATAGAGCTGTACAGCATGGAAACAGACCTTTTGGTCCAACTTGCCTGGGCTGACCAGATATCCTAAATTAATCTTGTCCCATTTGCGAACATTTGGCCCATATCCCTCTAAACCCTTCCTATTCATGTACCCATCCAGATGTCTTTTAAATGTTGTCATCGTACTCAACTCTGCCATATGTCCTGGCAGCTCGTTCCATACATACACCACCCTCTGTGTGAAAATATTGCCCCTCAGGCCTCTTTTAAATCCTTGCCCTCTCACCTTAAACTCATGCCCTCTTGTTTTGGCCTCCCCACCCTGGGAAAAAGACCTTGGCTATTCACCCAATCCATGTCCCTCATGATTTTAATAAAACTGTAAGGTCACCTATCAACCTCTGACACTCCAGGGGTAAAAAGCCCCAGCTGATTCAGCCTCTTCCCTATAGCTCAAGCCCTCCAATCCCGGCAATCTTTTCTTCACCCTTTTAAAGTTTAACAGCATCTTTCTTATAGCAGGGTGACCACAATTTGAATGTATGTTATAAGACACTGTACAGCTGCAACATGATGTCCAGACTGCTATACTCAATGCACTGACCAATGAAGGCAAGCATGCCAAATGCCTTATTCACCACTCTCTCTCCCTGCACCTCCACTTTCATGGAAGTATGGACCTGCACTCCTGGGTCTCTTTATTTGGCAACACTCCCTAGGGCATTGCTGCAAGGTTTATGTTAATCTATCAATATGTTTATAAAAATAGCAAAATTTTCCTTTTATTCAAAGGCAAAATTGAAAAAGACACAAGAGAGGGGAGAGAAGATGCATTTTCGTGGTGAAATCAAGACTTTGAGGAAGGAGCTGAGAACGAGGGAGGAGGCAGCTATCGTCCAAATACTAAAAAAAGCCAGTGTTGTGTTGACAACTAATACAGGTAGACCTTATAAGGAACAAAGACAGAATTTACTTGAGTAAAAGAAGAATTTCTGTTTTCTCATTTGCATATATGCACCAGACATATTGCATTATGGATAATTATTCTGAAAAATGGAACCTCAGACAGCACAGTATGTGGTCAATACTGCATTGAATTGTAGGTTTAGAGTTTGTGCCCAAGTCCTGAAGTGAAAGCTGATCTTTTATCTTGACATTTGTTTTTATGGTTCTTTTTGCAAAGCATTCTTTTTAATGTGTCATGAACAGTGCAAGGCATTGTTGCCCTCTATCCTCTTAATAAATTATGGAGACTGGAGGTTATTCATTCAGAATCAAATCAGGACACTTTCAATTTGGACCTCTGGGGACAGTATATAAAAATCGAACATAAAAAAACTGACGTGCAGTGATCTATTAACAGAAACGTCATGACAACAGTAAAATGATTTTATCCACCAAAGATGCCCATATTGCATATAAAGATTCAACATTATTTGCCATTCTCTGACCATGAATTCAAGGATAATAAGGCTAACAATTCAAGTTTGTGATATAATGGATTGAAATCTTATTGTTGTAAAGTAAATCAGTTGTCTGATTAGATTAATTTTTCCGTCTAGCTTATACACTGGTGTTTTACTTTTCCTCATCGATCTTTGTAATTTCTAGGTGCCTCTAATGATGGTCCGTTAAAACTCCTGTCAAATGAGTATTTTGATCTCGTGGTGATTGATGAATGTGCACAGGCGCTGGAAGCAAGTTGTTGGATACCATTAATGAAAGCTCCAAAATGCATCCTGGCTGGAGACCACAAACAACTTCCTCCAATCATCATTTCTCACAAGTAAGTCCATTAAAGGTAGTAAGACGCTCTGTATCAGCTTGCTGGGAGGGACCTTGTCAAAGGCCTTGCTAAAGTCCATGTAGACGACATCCACTGCTGTGCCCTCATCAATCATCTTTGTCACTGCCACAAAACGCTCAATCAAGTTTGTGAGACATGACCTTCCTCGCACAAGTGTATACTCCAGAGGAGGAGGCTGTGATGCGAATGTGACAACTTCATAGTCACAGTCAGGCAGAGTAGGCTGTGTCCATTACCAGTATTTACTTCTGTCTTTAAGATGCTAGTGATGGTTGTTGTCAACACTTGGGTGATACACAGCCAGCAGCAATCCCAATGGAAATTACTTATTCATATCAAACCCAGGAGGTTTATATTGAGTTTACAACAGTGAAATTAGCCTTTTGGGAGACAATCCTACCAACACTCCTCTGTAACCAATATAAAGTCAGCTTTATTGTTACATAATTTTCTCCAATTAAATGTTAGGAAGACTGAATCCATTGTTTTCGGTCCCTGCCACTAACTTGGCTCCTGGATGACTAATCCCATCCCTCTTTCTGGTTACTGTCTGTTACTGATTCAGATTGCGTATGCTGTTAGCATTATACTTGATGGGATGAGAGTCTGACCACATGTTTGCACTTTCGCCAATACTGCATACTTCTGCTTCTGTAACAACCCAAGTTTCTGTCTCTGCCTCAATTTATATGATGCTGAAATCCCTTTCCATGCCCTTATTACCTCGAGAAGAACAAGTCCAGTGCTATCCTTATTAATTTGAAGTTACTCAAAACTCTGTCATGTCCTAACTCATACCTGTTCTGTTCATCTGCGTTATCTTTACTGACCTTTTAGTCCTGGTTCAGGATGCCTTGATTTTAAAATTTTCATCCTGGCTTCCAAATCCTTACATCGCCTTCATCCTCCCTAGCTCTCTGGTTTCCTGCAGCCCTACAACCCTCCCAGATCTCTGAGCTTCTCCAATTCTGGGTGCTCGCTCTTAAATTTTAATTGCTGTACAATTAACTGCCATCCTTTTAGTTTCCTTGATTCTAGAATTCTGTCCCCAAGTCTCCTGATTTTTTTTGTTTGTATGCAGCTTTATACTGGCAAGACCAGTATTTGTTACCCTGGAGAAAGTGATATTGAACTGTTTTCTTGAATCACTGTGGTCTGTTATGCTAAAAGTGCATCCACAGAGGTATTTGGTAGGAAGTTCTATAGATAAGCTACCATCTGTGCTACTTCTAGAATCCTCCACATTGCTCATTGAGGTGCTCAGCACTGGCTTATGAGCAGCTCCTCCAATAGGCTCACAGTACTTTCTGTCATCAGCCCTCCTGTCTGGTGTGCTGATGGATCTAATCTTGTCAAACTGCTTCCCGACCAATTATCCGTCCCATTGTTGACCTTGTGTACTCTGCCAACAGATTAGTTCTCGTAATCCCTCTCCTTCTACAATGTTCATTCACCAGGCCCCTTGCCATGCAAGAATTTATTGTGAATAAATACATCTACATCAGCCTTATCGTATAGTTGGCTGAAGAATGATGACACCTTTCCCCTTGGTGAAGTCTTCAATCTGGTTTTATCTTCCACCACTTTCCCTGACGAGATTGTCGTGGTGATGTTGTATTAATCACTGAATCACACCTGGGCCTGACTCCCTACTTTAGGGGAGGCGATGGCCTGGTGGTATTAACGCTAGACTTTTATTCCAGAGACCAGACTAAATTCTGGGGACCTGGATTTGAATCCCGCCACAGCAGATGGTGAAACTGGAGTTCAATAAATATCTGGAATTAAGAATCTAATGATGGCTGTGAATCCATTGTTGATTGTTGGAAAAACCCATCTTGTTCACTAATGTCCTTTCGGGAAGGAAACTGCCATCCTTACCTGGTCTGGCCTACATGTGACTCTAGGCCCACAACAATGTGTTTGGTTCTTAACTGCCCTCTGGGCAATTAGGGATGGGCAATAAATGCTGCCTGGCCAGCGATGCTCTTATCCCGTGAATGAATAAAGAAAAAAAACTTCTGGTGCTTTCTCTTACATTTGAGCATCTCAACTTGTTCCAGTCTCTTGTCTCTCATCAAAAATGGTTATCTGGCATCTATGTTTCTTGCTACTTTTAGCACAAGCCTGGGATGTTGTCCAGGTCTGATTGCATATGGACAATTTCAGCATCTGAGCAGTTGTGAATGCAACTCAACATTCATCACCTTCTAATAGAGACAGTGTAATAGTACAGGTAGTTTGGAATGTAGGACACTACCATGAAGAACAATGGCAGCAATGTCTAGGGGCTATGATTATTGATCTTCAAAAACCCCAATTCTTGTCTTCCTTTGTACGAGGCAAGACTCAACTAGTAAAGAGATTTCCCTTTGATTTAAACTTTACAGCATGATCTTGTTGTCACACTTACTCTAATGCTTTCAAGGGCAGTTACTCTCACCTCATCTCTCTTGTCATTTAAGTCTCTCCACCTTACTTGATTATTCTGCTTGGACAGTCCTCAGGACCAAGAATGACTGACTTCCAGTCTGGTTTGATGGGTTTTGTTCGGTGAGGCTTGAAGGGTTGGGTAGACAGAATGTTAGGGTTTTTGCATTTCTCCCTGCTTTGACCTTGTATCGGCGTATCTCTTGATGTGTTTGGTGCCTTCTGAATAATCCTTCTCCATTTTAATTAGTCGCATCCATTAGTCAGTGGAGGTGCTTTGGAAACATCCTGAGACCATTTCAATGATCCTTATGGAGGCCTCCTGCCACAGCCGAATTCTGAGTAAAGCTGTTGCCTTAGGAACCTGGTGTCAGGTGTGTGAACAACATTTATCCAATGGAATTGGTTTTGAGTGTTTAGAACCAAGATGCTGAACTGATTGATTTGGGTAAGAATGCTGTTATTGGGCCTTTCTTCTGACCACGTGAGGATAATCTGACAAAGGCACCACTGGTGATGCTTCTTCGGTGCTTTTAGATTCCTGACATGTTGCTCATGCCGCTGAAGCATACAAGAATTCGGGGATCACTGGTGCCCATGTCTTTAGTCATAGGATTGAGATCCTGGTCCTCGAATACTCTCTTCCTCATTCGGTCAAAGCCTGAGATGGCACTTTGGATGCAATGTTGAATTTTATTGTCTATGTCTGCCTTCATTGGGCAGAAGCTCCCAAAGTGCAGAAAGTGGTCAGTATACGCCGGGATCTCACTGTTGCCTTAATTGATGGAATGGAAGGGAGATGTTGCATTGTGGGTGCTATGTGGCACAGGACCTTACTTTTCTGGGTGTTTGGTGAAAGGCCTGTTTTCCTATAATGTTTCCAAGAGGGAGACAATGTCTGAATGAGGATGCATATACAAACACCATCATCTACATACTGAAGCTGTAACATTGTGGTTGGAGTCATTTTGACTTTAGATTGATGACAGTTAAACAGTTTTTCATCAGTCCTGTAGTTATCTTCATCCTGGTAGGTAATTTGCTGACACTCAGTTGCAGTTTTACAGTGAGGAAATTGGAGAAGAGAGTTTGTATAAGTACACAGCCTCGTGTGGCCATTGCACTGAGGTAGGGTTTGTGGTGGTTCTGTTGATGAGGATCACAGATGGCATGTCATCATGGAGTATTTGGAGGATAATTACAAATTTCAGAGCAGCTAAATTTGATGAAAGTTCTCTGTGAGCTGTCACAGTTATAAACTCATACAGCATGGAGAGAGACCCTTTGGACCATCTCCTCCATGCTGACCAGGTTTCCCAAACTAAACTAGTCACATTTACCTACATTTGGGCCATATCCCTCTAAACCTTTCCTTCTCATGTACCTGTCCAAATGTCTTTTAAATTGTGTACTTGTAACTGCATCTACCACTTGTGTGAAAAAGTTGCCCATCAGGTCCCTTTAAATTTTTCCTCTCTCACCTTAAACCTATGCTATCTAGTATTAAACTCGCCTACACTAGTGAAAATGCCATTGCTATTCACCTTATCTATGAGCCCATGATTTTATAAACCTGTATATGGTCACCCCTATCCAGCCGCTCCCTATAACTCAGACTCACCAGTTCCTGGTAACATCCTTGTAAATCTTTTTTGCACCCTTTCCAATTTAATAATGTCCTTCCTATAGCAGGGTGACCAGAACTGTATGCAGTACTCCAAAAGTTGCCTCTCAAAAGTCCTGTACATCCACAACGTGATGTCCCAGTGCTCTGACCAAAGAACGCAAGCATGCCAAATGCCTCCTTCACCACCCTGTCTAATTGTGACGCTACTTTCAAGGAACTATGCATTTGAACCTCTTTGTTCTACATACCATTAACTGTGTAAGTCCTGCCCTGGTTTGTCATACTAAAGTGCAATATTTCACATTTATCTAAATTATACTCCATCTGCCACTCCTTGGTCCAGCTGATCCTGTTGTACTCTTAGATAACCTTCTTCACAGTCCACTTACCACCAAATTTGGTGTCATCCACAAACTTACTACCATACTTCCTATATTCTCATCCAAACCATCTATATAAAATGCCAAACAACAGTGAACCCAGTACCAACACCTGCAAAACACCACTTGCCACAGGCTTTCAGTCCAAAAAAAACAACTCTTCACCACCCCGCTCTGTCTACTGCCATCAAGCCAATTTTGTATCCAATTGGCAAGCTCACCCTGAATCCCATGTGATCTAACTTTACTAAGCAGTCTATCATGCAGAACCTTGCCAAAGGCCTTGCAGTGTTGTGATTAAAGCTTTGTTTGGCTGAGACCTATGGTAGTCAGCATGCAACAAATATCCCACTTCTTTAACTAAACATTTAGTTAGATATTCTGAGACTCCTTTATTTGACTCAGTGTCAAATTTTATTTTGCTAGTGCTCTTGGGAAGTGCCTTCAGGTGCTTTGCTACATCAAAGTTGGCATGTTGTTGTCATTAGCAATGGAGGAGGACAGTGCAAGCAGACAATACAGGGTTAGTGCAGTCTGATCTG